CTGTCTATATCACCAGCTATCAATAACGTATTTTCGTCATTCAAAAAAGGAAACTGAAACTACGACTGCATATATAGTAAACAAATCAGTGTTAGCTTAGCATTTTGAATATCAATCACTCGGCACATGTTATTATGAAAATAGTTGTGCGTTCGAATGCTCTGGTAAGATGACATAAATCTATAACAGCCTTCTGTTTGTACACTGTAAAAAAAAAATGTTGGTTTAACTTAAAAAAGTAAGTAACCTGGCTGCCTTAATTTTTAAAATTGGAAAAATTGAGTTAATACAATGGAGATTGATTTAATCATCAGAAACTCAAAATATTATGTTATCTGAACTTGATAAATTATTTAAGTTGATTTGACAAAAGAAAAAATGTTGTGATTACAAATCATGAAAATATTTTTTTAGAGTGTACTCTCTTTACTTTTTTTTTCCACTTTCCCTTTTATTCTCATGCACTGACTCATTCTCTAAGCTGAACAGCCAATCACTTCTCTCTCTCACCAACGGTCTGACGCCGATCGTTGGCTTGGTGTGTCCCGGCCTTAACAAATTGTGCTCACAGGATTTATAAAACCTCACCTACAAATTTCCAATCTGTGCACTCAGATGCCGTGAAAGCAAACGAATCTGTGAATTGTTAAACCGAGGGGAAAATTTAAGAAACTGTGAGTAAGGCTCATAAACTAAGGGGACGTATTGTAAAACTGTGGCTACGGATTTGCGGTTCTTGTTTTTTTTTTTTTTTTTTTTGTCCTCCTACAGATGACTTTTCGGGGCCTGTGTGTGTTGTTCTGGATAAAGTGATCAAAAAGACAGCTCAATAAGTATTTGAACACAGGCTGAGATTGACATGAAAGTGCTGCAGTATATGATTCTCTCTGTGAGCACGGGTCAAGACACGGGTCACGGCGCAAAGAGCAATAGCAGGAATATATCAGCTGCAATTCCTCTTACACATTATTAAACTCTTGTCCTTGACTATTGTGGGTTTGTAATCTTGTATGTGTGCACATGCGAATTGATTTCTGGGTGTGTGTCTATGTTCACTCTCGATAGGTCCCTCCTTTCATTGTGTGTCCTTTAGTTTCACTTCTCTGGCGCTCTGAACATCACATACCTCTGAGGTAACATCTAAACATGCCTCACCGCAGCCAAGAGTGATAAAGAGTTTACGTCAATGGAAAACGGGAGAGGAGAAGTGGCTGAACGGATCACTTTACAGTCACTGATTGTTTAACCCATCAGTGGTACTATTTGTCACCATATTGGTCACTATTTGAATGTAGTCATTTTTTTATTGTGCCATTATTTTAAAATGTGTTGTTTTAAGTTAATCACATTATTAAACGTCCAACAAAAAAGAAAGAAGAAACGTTCTGTTGGGTTTAATAGACCCGCTGAGCTAAATTTACCTTTTTTTTACTGGTTATAGTCATGACCAAGAAAGAAGTTTAGATTTTCACTCATGTTTTATGATTTATGTAGAAAAAACATGCAGTTTTTAAAATATTTGTATACATTCACATAGATTTTGCCTATAAAATGTGTTTGAAAGAAGTCTGTTCCGCTCACCAAGGCGGCATTTATTAGTAAAAAATACTTTATAAACAGCAATACTGTGAAATGTTATTACAATTTAAAATAACTTCCCTATTTTAATATTTTTTCGTGTTGTGGTAAAACTGAATTTTCAGCATCATTACCCCAGTTATCAGAAATTATTCAAATAGGCTTATTAGTTATTCTGAATCAATCTGGCTTACTTCTTTTCTGGTTCCATTACAGGAATCATAGATGACCTGCATGATAACCCTTGGCTTTTTAATATTTGCAGGAAATGAAAGTCTTTTAATTAGCAGGAGTAACAAGTAATGAGTGTCAAAGAGCTGACTGAATTGGGCATTGTTATGCTTAGTGAACCTAGTTTCCTCTGTATTCAAACAGAGGACTGGTTATTTGAAGCGGTTTCTTGTCCTGAATGAAGGGATATCCCATAAACCAGTTTGACGACATGTTTGTCCTGAGATCACATTCGACTGTATTATACGTTTCACGTCATAATGTTGAATGGATGGCGTGCGAATTGTTCCACATTGTAATGAAGTTCGTTATAGAACTTAAATTCTACGTTAGACATTCCAGCAGATCTTAATTCTCACTTGTGCTGGCATTCGCTCAGTTGCATTTTTAATGGTGTTATTTTTGGAGTGTGTGAATGTCACCCTTGACACACTCTCCGCATGCGAGTGTGTATCCATGCAGATGAGTGGGTGAGTCTTTAGCAAGTGGGCCACAACATCTCTCAGGCTCAGAGACGTCTCAGTTGCCATGGAGATGGAGAGACAGGGTTTGGGTATCGGCACTGATTTCCTGGTTTTATACTGAATACAAGCTATCCTCTGTATTGATTCATTTAGAAATATTTTAAGTTCATTTCAGTTCATGAAACATGCTAATAATTGCACGATCACACGACTGCAACACAGTCCAGGTTAATTTTATTGTCATATTCAGGTATTTTTAAAATCATTTTGGCCATTACAGGTTATCGGCTATGCACAGAAACTTTAAAAATGTCCTTTATGCCTCTTGAAATGAGAAAACAATTTAAGGCAGCATAAAAAATAAATACATTTCATAAAAAGACTTAATGAATATCCAGTTTCGTTTGGATCAAATTATTGGATCAAAGTGTGTAATTGATTTAATGTCACGATTCACACATTAAAACTGGACGGTTCCACCAGATGCGCGGCACAGAGGGAAGTCTGTTGCCCCTGACATGAAGATCTGTTGAATTTGTAATGATCTGGGTTAAATTCCAGCCTGGTCCTATTCCCCTTCTTTCTGCCTCAACTTTCCTTTTGCCTTTCTACTGCACTATCAAATAAAGGAGAACCTATGTGAAAAAAGAGATGGATTAAAAAAAATCTTGAGATTTTAAATCTCGATATTGGAACGCTCAAACAAAGGTCACAGTTAATCGGCAAATCAATATTTCTTCCCAGTCCTTGCAGCAAATCAATTTGGTTGGCATTGGCTGTCAGTCTGTCTCAGGTGATGACGGAGGAGCTGCTCTCTAGACCTGATTCTGATCTAAATCTCACAGCTAACACAGTCTGCCACTAATTGCAGATTCATTGGATCTCCACAGGTCTGATTTGAGACTTTTTGAAGAATTTGTTCTGTGGGGCTTATGGGGGATTGAAAAGGCACAATGCAATCTATGCAGTTAACTTTTAGCAATGTTAACAGAGACTTTGAATGCTAGTCTGGACTACAAAGAAGATAAGTCCAACTTGTCACAACCATCTAATAATACCGGACCAGATCACACACGTCATTGTACGCACACGCATGATTTGAATTGGTCATAGGGACCTGCATCTCATAATGAAATGAGTAACTTTAAATTAACTTTAATTTTAATAACGGGAATGAAATATTTAATATTGCAGAATCTGTTGGTGCATTGCGTAGTATATACAGCTGAGTCCTAATTTTATCGTACAAGGTAATAAATAGTTTCATGAGTTCTTTAAATCTGTCCTTAATAAACTAATGGCATTATGCTTCTCTCATTTCTCTGGTTTATTACCCCTCACCGCTTTAAAAGAAAGTATAGGCTCGCTGAAAACTTCACCACATCATGCTGAGGATTATATTTCACGTGCTATGTTTGCATTGTAAGCAATATAATCGACTTTTATCCTAAGTCACCTGCTGAAGTAATCCTCCCACGCGCCAAATATGCACTTTCTTTTATGCTGCTTTGGTGAGAAGACATCTGGCAAGAACAGTAATGTAAAATGCATAAGCTCAAGGTAGATTTTCTTTCCAGGTTTTGCCTGTTAGTGTATCACAATTTGGTCCTAATTTACAGAACAGACTTTTTTTTTTTCTTCAATTAAACGGATAGTTCACCCAAAATGGCCAATTCTGTCATTATCGACTTTCTTTCTTCTATGGAACACAAAAGGAGATCATGAAAAACGTTCTGGCCACTCTTTGTACTATAACGAATTTGAATTAGGTTCGGTGAACGATTTGTTAATGAATTGAACTGATCTGGTTCAGGTTATCTAGTCGCAGTGGTTAAAATCTCATTGAAGGGGAAGAATATAGAGTGGTATTGGGCTTGTTCACCAACAAGGATATGTTTTAGATGTTTTCAAACTGTACATTTCACTGTCTGTCCAAAAGTTTGATGTTGTATCCTGTAGTTCAAACAGTTTTAGCGCTAGTAATGCTAAGGTCTCGGGATTCAAGCAATTTATATATTTATCAGAAATTCCTAGATATTAAAGGTAGGGTAGGCAGTTTCAGAGAGGCTAGCAATAGCAAGCTAGCTTTGAAAGCATTAGATCCCACCCTCCATTCAGAGCATCTCCAAAGCAACGCCTCCGTCAAAACATGTGAACACGCACAGCCAGAGCAGAGTCAGAGTTAAATGACCTCATGTCTCAAATCACATAACATTATAATGATAATAAACGTAAACAACTTGTAATCAATCTTACTTGACTGCTGCAGATTGATTTCTGTGTTGATAGGGTTGATTTTTTTAGCGTGCTCTGTGACTGTCTGTCTTCTCATTGCATTGCCTCATGCAACATACTGATCACGTGTAATGTCTGTGCAAGCAGGGTCACGGAGGTATGGAAATATATATGTTTACTGGCAGGTAGGACATCGTATCATCACATTCGGACTGAATGCAATGATTGGGAGAACATTTTTGTCCTGTAATATTTAGACCACTTCTATTATTGATATCAGGATGTGATGAGAGTTTCAACCAGTATTATATTTTATTAATTGGAGAAAATGGTTCTTGGACCAACCAAAGTACTCATCATTAAATTATTAATTACGAGGATGCCAGGTGTTGTTACTATTGGATGGAGACATTGTTGTGTTTTCCGATTGCCTTTTTATTGCCTGTGTGTAGCATCAGTCTCTAACCCCCATCTCTTTTTATCTGTCTGTAGGAGATAAAGATGGCAGTAAAGTGACCACAGTGGTGGCGACTCCTGGACAGGGACCTGACCGGCCGCAGGAGGTCAGCTACACTGACACCAAGGTCATTGGTAACGGCTCTTTTGGCGTGGTCTATCAGGCCAAGCTCTGTGACTCAGGAGAACTGGTGGCCATTAAGAAGGTCCTTCAGGATAAGCGATTTAAGGTAAGGCGGAGAAGCATTACATTCATTCTTTCTTGGTCTCTTGACTCTATATAATGCTTTGGGCCTTGTAGCTTTCTTAAGAACAGCTCAGACAGTTTTTTTCTCATCAAAGTGCCTTTGTCTTTGTTCCTATATCCTTATATTTTTTTTGTTGTATGTCTGTTCTTTGATCAGTTCCTTTATATCTGTTCTTCAGTGTTATTGCTATACTATTATATTTCATGTTTGTTCTCTTATATTTGATCTAATTTCTTATGGTTTATCATTTCTCTTAAATTTATTTTAGCTGAATTCTATACTGATGTGCTCACATGACAATAGTAAATCAAATATTGTCTATACCAAACACAATGAATGCAACGTACAATTAGATGGTGATATTATTGTGACATCTATAGAATAAAATAAATAAATAACTACATAAAATAAAAATGGCGTCAGAAATAATGGTAAATTAATGCTATCATTTAGAAGCAACATTTTTGTATTTTCTCTTTTTTTGGTTAATGAATCACACTCAAAGTACGAGTGAAGAGTTTTTCGAGTTTGTAGAGTTTTTAACCATAACTGGACAGAAGCGTACAGTAAGAAATGACTGTCATTCGGCAGTTCCTGTAGACTGGGGTGTTTAACAACCCATCTTGAGGAGCAATTAAACCAACTATGGGATAACAATATGCAAGTGCTGTGACCCTTCCCAGTTTAGTCTAATGCAGTATACGTAATAAAAAATAAGATATAGAATAGAATAAAAGAGAAAAGAAAAGATAGTGTTTGTATTAATGGATCGAGTGTTGCCAAAAGTTCAGCCGTTTCTTGAAAATGACTACGGACTCAGGTTGAGTTCGGCAGATCATTCCACCTGCAGGAAACAGTCATGTTAAAGGTCAGATTTTAGAGATTTTGTGCCTCTTTGAGATGGCATCATGAGGCTATGTTTACTTGCAGAACGTAAGATTCTGGATGGAACGTAAGTCTGGAGTAATGAGTTTAGGTAAAAGGGAGCAGAGCCAGTGGTTGTTCTGTTGGCAAGCATCAGTGCCTTGAATTTGATGTGAGCAGCTATTGGCAAACAGTGCAATTTTGTGATGTGTACTCTCTTTGCCTCCTTAACGACCACTGTAGCTGCAGAATTCTGGATCAGTGACAGTGCAAGCTGGAAGACCAGCCAGGAGAGCATTACTATAGTCCAGTCTGGATACAACACGTGCTTGGACAAGGGGTTGTACAGCATGTTCTGATAGGAAGGGCCTGATCCTCCTAATGTTGTGCAAGGCAAATCTGCAGGACCTGACCGTTCTAGCAATATGGTCAATGAAGTTCAATTGATCATCGATCACAACTCCAAGGTTGCTGGCTGACCTTGATAGAGTATTGGATGACGAACCTTGCTCAATGCAGAAGTTGTGGTGTAGTGTTGGGTAGGCCAGGATCACAAGCAACTCTGTCTTCACAAAGTTTAGCTGAAGGTGGTGGTTCTTCATCCAGCAAGAAATGTCTGTCAGGCAGGCTGAGATGCAAGCAGCTACCGTCGGATCCTCCAGTTAGGGTGAGTGATCGAGTTGTGTGTTGTCCGCATACAGTGATCGCAAAAACCATGTTTCTGAATGACAGATTCTAGTGATGACATATAGATAGAAGAGAATTGGTCAAAGCACTGAGCCCTGAGCACTCGCGTAGCTACGGGTGGGCCTGGATGGGCCTGGGCCCACCCACCTGTCAGTCAGGCCCATCCAGTCAGTGGCCTTACAATGTAGCTGAAGCAGGGAATTCTGTTGCGATTGTCACAATACTTGACTAAAAATACAAATAATAAAAATAATTATAATAATAAAATAAATCTTAATTTTTCTTGATTCTTGTTTGGTTGTCATGGTGATGACGAAATGCCCGCGCAGTCAGATTGCGAACAGCCCATCCCCCCTTCACAACGACGTACACATTTCACAGAGGGAGACTGAAGTTTAGCTAAACTAAAATGAAACAGAGCAACTTACTAAAGTTTGTGTCAAAAAGACCACGGCCGCTGCAGGAGGAAAATAATGCAGATGTTCAGGAGCCTCACAGCCATCAGTCTCGAGTAGTAAGGAGCTGCTCTGCTGCTAGAGATTACGTTAATTCAGCAATCTCTCCCTCACCAGCAGCGCTCCATTCTACCTCACCTACACGCCAGTGTACAGGTACATACAGCCATGTCTTAGGATAAGTAATAGGCCTATATACAAATGTGCAATAATTAACACGAATGAATCATGATTTAATATATCAGCGTTATGTACGTTCATTTTTTCAGACTCGGCTAAGCCTAGGGCCAGCACTGTCCTGTTATAAGCTAGTCATCACAAGTAATCTACGTATAGTTGCCGAGTTAATGTTGTTTATTTAACGTGGTTTATGTGGCCGCTGATCCAGACTATGACCAAGCATTGTTTTTACACACTGTCCTGCTGATTTTATGATGGTGTTGTTTTGCATCTGTCAGATGCGCACGTGTGTGTAGTGTGGGCGGGGTCGCGCGCACTGAAACTGCTGTTCTTATCGTTATGTTCTTAATACTGCTTATGATGATGACATACATGCTTGTGCTCTGATTAAACTGTGGTGTATTCAAGAAGGTTTAGTTATGTTGGCCTATTTTGATCACAGATGCATTTAGGCTGTGCCCACCTGATTTTCTCTGGGCCCACCTACATTATGATTCCTGGCTACGCTAGTGGCCCTGAGGCACCCCAGTAGCTAGTATTATTAACATGATATCAATATATAACAAAAATCAGTCAATACTAGTTTATTGCTAGCCTGACTTCGTCATACTCATATTCTAGTAAGAATATGAGTCTGAAACCGCTCCGTAGGGCTAACCGAACCAGGAAAAAAACCCCTCTGCACTCAATTGGATAGTCAGGAAACCTACAACCAAACAGAGCAACGCAGTAAGTCAACTCCTTTGCATAGCACAGTTCTCAACTACAGAACTTACTTATTTTAGAAGTTAAATAACGAGTGTTGCTTCTTTTACTTACTTCTCCATGAGTGCGACCAAAGGAGAAACCACAACGACCACAGGCTTTTCATTACGTCCCATCTTCTTAAAGACCGTCAGAGCCAGCTGATAAGTTACACTTTTCCCGAATCATGTAGGAAGGACGCCAAAAATATCTTTCCGATCGACAAATGCCTTGATTGCAGTTCTCTGTTTGTCTATTAAAATTGATGCGCTGTCGATTTATTTCACAACAGACGCAACAGTGGAATCTATACATCTCTATTCTCCAGCTGCAGTCATCTTTGAGGGAAAGCAGTTGAGCGCTCTTTGATAACGTGATGATTACGTCCTTGCAGATCGTCTGTCCATCATCGTATAAAGCCCGCCCTGGCAATTTGATTGGCCCGAACGTTTCTTGTCTGATCATAATTACTCCTCAATGGATCAAGTCCAGACCGAACTTCCCGACCAAAAAATGTTGTGGGCGGAGTTCGGGCTGGCATCCAGGCTAGTTTATTGCATCTTTTTGAGTCAATAACACATTTATTGAAGAAAATGAACAAATTTATAAGGAATCGTCAATGTAACGTATTTTCCCATTTAATTACAGGCTCTAATTTCATGCTCTGATAAATTCATCTGTGTAAATTTTGCTGTTTAATATTGAATAGAAGTTCACCATAATATGACAGAAGGGGACTTTTACTTTTTTGTAAACTGCAGCAGAGAAGTATGATTGACAGAAGAAGGATGTCACCTTTCCTGAGCAACAAAACATAAATGCAGTCATCCTGAGAGTGACTGATGGTGTAAATGAGATCAGAGATCAGATGGTGGTGTACATGAAATGTAGTTCACTCATGTCAGCGAACTGTTTCTGCTTGTTGAAAAAGTTGACCTCGTCGCATTGTGACAGTAAGCCATTCCCTTTAGAGAGATGTAGTGCATCTATCTGGTGTGTGTGTGAGACAGAAATGGGTCACATGTGAAGGACAGCATGTGTACAGTGACCTGGCAGAGATATTATTGACACTGTCTACTAGTGTGTGTTTGAAGCTGTGTGCCATTTCCATTATCACTTTTTTGAGTCCTCTAGGATGATAGTGGTGATAAGGCATTGCTGGCACACTCCCAACAGGAATGATGTTCCAATAGGTAGAAGGCATTATACTGAGTTCTAGGAGTATCACAAGGTAGAATCACATGTATTTTGGAGGATAAGGCCTGTTAAAACCCATCCAAGATACCATATTGCTCACAAAACTTTTGAATTCTCTAGGAAAAGTATTACTTTCCCCAGAGAAAATCGTTGAAATATATAGTTTTTCATCCCACCTCATACCTTTTCCATTACCAGTTACTTAAACGTCATTTTACTGATGGATGCTTCTCAGTACAATTCTGGATTCACAAAACGCTTGCTCTTGAAAGGTGGGTCAGTACTAGGGTTGGGTATCGTTTGAATTTGAACAATTCTGATTCCGATTCCGGTTCCTAACGATTCTCGATTCTGATTCTTTTAAGAAGCAGGGTCAAAAAAGTTTAGCTAACCTTGCTAACCAACGGTCTTTCGGAAGGAAATAATCCTTTCTGAAGGAAATACTCCTTCTGTCACAAATACTCCTTTTGTCACAAATTTTGCATTTTGCCGAGATTTCGTTATTTTTTAAAAAATGAAGCCACACTTTGGACCGCCGACGTAAGCTACTCATGTTCGACTCGCGCGGTTATGCCAACACTTCCGGTAGACGCTTCTTCGTTGGTGTTGTTCCGCGGTTTCTTCTTCCGCTCGGCGGACTGTGAATAATCGAAAAACTAGGACTCGAAATTTTAACTTTTGAACGATTCCGGGAAAAACTAAAATTTAGTCCCGGTTCCAATCGATACTCGATTCTCGATACCCAACCCTAGTCAGTACCCAGTTTATTTGGTAAAGCTTGCTCCTTAGAATCAACCGGTAAGTATGAATAATCATTGATATTATATAATTGCTGGTTGTTTTTATATTGTGTAAGTTTCCGGCTAACCGGCTAATACTGCTGTCTTACTGAAATACTTCTGCTAAGCATCTGTGGGCCACTCTTACCTAAAACGGTGTCTTTTAATGCAGATTGTCTGTTGTTCTTACTACTTTGAGTAAAGGTAAAGGATGGAGCAATATTTGTTTGTGCACTGCAATAAATTAGAAATATACACATCAGTTTGTTGATAGACATGCACTGACTAACTGAATAACTAGTTGAATTGCAAAAGGACGTAATAGTTCTTCCAATGTTTCATCACCGGACTCGCGCTCGGATTGATATGGTAAAATCGACTAGGTCGTCTTTAGAGTGTGTGCAATCGCTGAGGACTGAGGAAGCCTCCAGAGCTTACAGTAACTGGCTTTAGCTTCCGACACGCTCTGTACAACAGACTGGGCCTTCTGACCAATCAGAGCACAGTAGGCTCGCAGAATTGAGGGATTTAGAGAGACCGATTCATCCGTCGAGTCGTTTGAGAATCACTGAAAAATGTGGTTGTGTGCAATGTGTATTATGAGAAAATTATTTGTTTGATTTGTTTTACCTTTAATGCATGTAAACCTGTTGTTGGAGACAGGACAAAATCAGGAACCTTTAAAATAGCATAATAGGGGCACTTTAACAACACTCTAACTCCAACGTCTGTTGAAACCAGCCACTAGCCAAAAAAAACTGTAGGGCTGTTTTTAAAATCGCCCCCTACACCCTCATTCACTTTTCCCTAAATTAGTCCACTAATACAGTCTACTTGAAGCAGAGTGAATTCAGACTGAGTGTGCCGGAAGCAAACTGGATTTATCTTGAACTGTCAGGGAAACCGTACTTACTCAAACAGTTCAATAATCGATTAAAAATGAATTTATACCTGCATGATATTACGCTGTACCCACATTGGACCAGCACTTTGGAAAATGGATAGATGGATGATTCATCTGCCGGCGAAACGCAGTAATTCATTTGATGCAACCCTCACAGTGCATTATGTATTGTCTTGCTTTTGCATGTACATCGGTTGTGCACTTGTGGTGCATTATGGGATTGATTGAGTGCACATTATAATGGTTTCGGACACCACTACAAATGGCTGTTCCCTCAAATAGTGCCCTATTTTGAGCACAGTCTAGGCCATGCTGAATAACATTTGCCATGTAAACTTTGGTAAAACATTTTTGGTTATTTTTGCTGTCACCTGTTGTTTTGTAGAATAGGGCAAAAGTTAAAATGTCAAGTATAAATACCTGTGGAGTGTTGTGAGCTGTGTGCGTCTTCTGTTAAGTTAAATCTCTTCATGTGATACCCTTGCAATTATTTCTGTCATTTCTTTACCACATTCCTTTCAATGGAGTTTGCTCCCTCCCTTGCTCATAGCTCTTCCGAGAGAGGATCTGTATGTGTGAAGTGTGTCAATATCTGTAGGAGTGTTTATCTGTTTGACCTTTGTCCTGCAACAAATACACACATATTTGCATATATATAATACTAGCATGTGAGAACAGGGGTACTATTCTTTATCTTCTTTGGCGTCAGTGGATAATATTATTTGTATCAAGATAGAGAAGAACCTAGGTAAGTGATTTATATCTATTTGCTGATTTGGTAAGCAGAAGATAGCAATCAACATTGCCTTTTTTAATGCTTGTGCAATGTAATAGTGCGAAAGTAGTGCAGTGATGTAATGGGTGCTTTTCACAGCAATCAATCATTTTCCATGAAGTGGATGTGTACTTAGCCATGTGCTTGAAGCAAAGGTTCTGTTTGCTTTTTACTTAGCCAAGTATAGCCTTAATATTTCTATCAACCACAAGGGCTGCGAAAGAGTTAACTAAAGGGCCTTTCACACAGAACAACTAAGGGGCCATTCACGCACTAGACACGTTTTTTTTTTTTTTTTTTTTTTTTTTTAAACGAATTTTACTTTGGGTTTACAGAAAGATATTTTAACAAATTTTGTAAGGAACACGTTCAAATGATCTATCCAATCAGCGCAAGAAGAGGTAAATGCAGCCGACTCACCTAGTGTATGTTCCTGGGCAGTTTTCAGTATCCCTCCACATCCCCGTCTCCTCACTCTCCTGGTACCTACAGCCAGGAATACTGGGGAGTACTCTGGGTTCAGGCCAAAATCCCGAGCTCGGAGGTTCTCCTCGGACAGCATGCCAAATACTCATACTCTTTTACTGATCTGCTTATTTGAAAGTGTGGACTTGTGAATTGTTCTTTGTGAAAGGGGTCATCATTTGGTTGATAAGCCGGATGTGAAATTGTGTGTGTAAATGAGAGTGACTGTATGCAGAGTTGGCAGTGACTTGAGTGTTCACAAATTACCACCAACTGTGTGATTGTGATGCAGTTACTGGCTAACAGAGTCACACATCACACACACACACACACAAACACACAAGTTTGATTGTACAACCCGTTAATAACATTTATAATAAAATCCTGATACAGCATAAATAAACATCCCATTTACCATACCTTAAAAACTGTAACTATTAATATCTAATTCACTCTTAAATTAGAACATGTTTTCACATATTTCCCAATAAAACAAAGTAGTTACAAACTAAAATTCATTAGGTTAAGGGGTCTTTTTTTGCCAATATTGTTGTTTGCTAAATATTAATGACATAATAGACAGCAGCAGATCTATTAGGGTGCATTTATACTGGAAGACTCCAATATAGACAATGTGTATATAAAGTACATCACTCTTATATGTGTATATACAGATCTTAAATTGTACATGAACTATTCTGCCACAGATGCATTTCAAGGGATTTGAAGAACGTTATCCACTCTATCCAAAGGCAATGTATTCAGAGAGAAAGAACTACGATAAAGGCATTATTTTATAAATATATATTTTTATATATCATATGTCGTCTGCACTGGTTCACAATTTGTAAAGATTATTTTCATACTGATTGTGAATCATATTGAAGTGGCCACCTTAACCCAGACCACATTTTCAAGTGGACTTAGATTTGAAAACAACAACAACAACAACAAAAAAACAAGTTTCACAATAACCAAAGGAACTGAACACTGATGTCAAACAGACACTGAATGCACTAGCCCTTCAGTTTTCCAAAGTCACTGTTTTTGTGACTAAATAATCCTCAAAAGCCCTAAAGTTGTATTAGAAATGAAGTCTGTATTAGTCTTCCTGTATTTAATACACTGCCATCATCTTCTGCTGCTTTCATTGTCAATAGAGGAAACATCTCTAACAGACGCACACCATGTGGGTGGTGCTTTAAATAAAATTGTTGCAATTTCTCATGTGGATGCCGCCAGATGACACCGGTTGTCATGGTTACGGGCCATTTCATTTGCTTCTATTTTGATCTATTATTCTGGTCAGATATGGGGCAAAAACTGACCCAAGTCCTCTAAGTGAGGAATTGTGTGGAGAATACTACTGCAGGTTCATTTTATTCAAGCTTTTGCCAGACCTGTTATTTACAGCTGAAATGAAGCATATATATATATTTGTGTGTTTTTTTTTTTTTTTTTGCAGAACCGTGAGCTTCAGATCATGAGGAAACTGGACCACTGCAACATTGTGCGTCTGCGTTACTTCTTCTACTCCAGTGGAGATAAGGCAAGTGCCTCTCTTGTATCACTTAATCTTATGCTGTTATCTCACACTACATCACAGCGTGCCCTTTTCAGTGCCAAATGTCTGAACTAGGCGATATAGTAAATGCGTATATTCACAATGTAGTTACAATGATTTAGCTTGTGACATAAGATCAAGTTGCATCATGTCGCAATGATTTTAGGGTGATTTCTGTTTGGCTGTGCAGTTTATATTTCATTAAAAAACAACTTATTGACCCCAAACTTTTAAAAGTAAATTTTTTTATTGACTAAATATGGCCAGAATGTAAAAAAAAAACAAATTAAATGGGTGGTAAAATGCCCTTTTCACAAGATGTAAAATAAATCTCTAATGAATGTGTATGTGAAGTTTTAACTCAAAATATCCCACAGATATGTTTTTAAAGCGTTTTAAAATGGTCACTTTTTGTGGATGAGCAAAACGCATCGTTTTTTGTCCCTTTAAATGCAAATGAGCTGCTCCTCAAAGAAGGCGGAGTTTCAAGAGCTCCAGTGTTTTAGCATCTTGATTATCTCACACAGAAAAGACTTGAAAAATTGTAAAAAAAAAAAATCTTTTATGTTAAAACCGGCGTCGGACAAAGATGGAGAGCCTCAAGAAGAAGTGACAACATGTAGACAACATTTCTGAATGATTAGTTGATGAATTTATGTAGCTTAAGTGTAGTTGTCTTCCAATTGATTAGCATATTTTGTCTTGATAATCTTTAAATTGTGTTCCCGGGGGCGACTTGATGTAAATTTTAGGGTTAGTGATGTCAATAACCCCTGAGTAATGTCGTGTAGTCCCTACCAGCCATTTGTTGTAGTCCTTAAAAAGCAATTTCTATAAAAGAAAATATCTCCCTTTGCTTTGAACTTTGAGCATTGTAACTTTGAAGATGTTGTTTATGCTCAAACAGCAACATTACACACTGATTAAAAGTTAGAAAAGTGAAATCATAATTAACCACCCCTTTAAAAGATCTTTTTTAAACTATATCGCCCAGCCTTAGTCTAAAAGCCTCTGTGTTTTTATTCATCTCTAATGGAGTCTAATGGTGGCCAGATGCTGACCGGAGATACTGTACATCCACTCTGAGAACTTCTTCCCATGTGATTATCTGTGTTAGACACACTATGCAGGCTTGAAACTCTCTGACTGAGATATTAAGACACACACACATAAATACTGTCAACACTGCAACATCGTCTGACCACCAACCACATATCTACCTCTCAGTTTTTCTTTGTCTCGCTTATCTCACACATCATACGCACATACCCTTTCAACCTCTCGCCCACACACCATGACTTTGCAAAAACGCCTGACCACTGTTTTTTTCTTCTGTGAGAAACATGCTTTCGAAATGTCAGTGGCTGGTTTGCACGCTCACACACCCACACACACTCCCCTACCCCCCTGTAACCCAGAATCACAGAGCACCAGGGTAAAGCCTGACAGGGACTGCAAAATAATAATAATGACAAAAAGTCATTACAAGAGCTGAAGGGGAAGGAAGATATACAGATGAAAAATCGTGTCCATGGCGGTAGTGACATGGCAACAGTCCATTCGTTCAACTGAGAACAAACCCTTAACATTAGTCCAAGATCATTTTTATGTTAAAATGCTCTTTTCCAAGCTTAAACGTGAACTGTGTCATTTCTATGCTGTACTAAACTCCCAAAAGCCTTATTAGCCAACTTTGGTAACATTTTCCATCATTGCCAACATTGTGATTCTGATTGAACCACTTTCTGTTGTTTGGGAAAATTAACTATAATAATATGACATTAATTGCCGTTTTTGAATTGATTAAACAGTAGAAGTAATTACTCCACCTCATTAACATCTGTCCTGTATTGTTGAACCAAAATGATGGTAGTGTGACTATCGCAATTCTGACTTTATAACTCGTAATTATAATACTATTGTGAGGTAGAAACTTTCAATTGCGAGTTATAAAGTCCAATTCTGAGGGGATTTTATATTTTATTCTCTGGCAGAAACAAGCTTCCATAGAATAGCGAAGTCCACACCACAACTATATCGATAACGTCACAGTAGAACGATATCATTGATATCACTTTCAAAGTAATTTTTTTGTGTGCTTATAATACCATTACGTCCGTTGGTGTGAACACTAGTATAGTTATTCTTTGTTTATCGTTCTTGGTGGGAATAAGCCTTCCATAGAGCCTACACCATACCCAATTAGAACATCACCAACACAACTAAATCGCCCCCATCATCAACTAAATCGCCCCCATCACAATCAATAAAACTGTCACTGTAAATGTCTGTCTGATTCAACTGTGCCATAAATGTTTTAGCTGAATCTCTACCAGTGACACATTTCTACCGTCACATGGTGTACACCATCATACTGCCCAGTACCTCTACTGTAATTTTAGCAGCTGCTCTGTTTTTTGCCTAGTATAAACGAGTGCAGAGCCTCTCATGGAGAGATAAAACACAAAGATAGAGAGAGGTGGATGACGTAGGCTTGGAGAGAGAGAAAGATTAAAATCAGGCTTGTAAAGAGACTGTTCAACAATGATGAGCTGGCGTCATGTCTGGACGTGGTCTGCTCTCCCTCCAAACAACTTCCACTTCAGCGAAGTGGCATGATTAGTAGAAGTGTTGTTGCACACTGCAGACAGCACTCCGCTCTGAAGTCTGACCCCAGACCCCTTTAAATGACTCTCTCTACAGCCACAGGCTCTGTTCCAAAACATAGTGTGTGGCCTTGCTGTTCTGACTACATGAACACGTTCAAATTATGTATTGAGAGGCCATGGTATTATATTGCTGTAAAAAAAAAATATTATTGACAAACAAAGCAAGTCTTTCCCCTGTGAAAAAAAGTTTGTTTAATTGTATTTAATGTGCATTTGTTTTGTAAAGTGGAACTTTTAAAAGTGCACTTTGTAATAGTCAAATTAAAAGTTTTTCTCTAAAGTACATTGTTTTTATAAACGTTTGTTGTACACTTACAGTATTTTGATGTGTTAACTTACACACTAAATCACAAATACTTGATTATAATATTAACTGTAGTGTGTTATGCAGTACATTTAAAGTGAATATTTTTTTTACAGTATAGAGCTGTTGAATATGATATTATTTTCTTAATAATACGAGGAATATTCCACATGTGTTACCACATGAAGTACAAGAAAAAAATATATATAAAAACAAAATAAACCCCATATATATATAGGGGAGAGCCGGGCACAACCTAATGCATTTTGGCTCAATTAATTAAAAAATAATTAGGTTAGATTAATATTTTTTACACAAGCAACATACACATCTTTGCTACAAATGAACACTTAAAGTTTTTTTCTAGGACCTACCATTTTCGTACAGTTGCACTGAAAATGACAGAAGCGGGGTTAATTGTAACAGACAGAGGGGTTAGTTGTAACACTTCACTTGTGTGTAACACACATAATTCAGTACTATTTTATTTGTATAGTTTGATATTGTTTGTGCATCTGTATAGACAGATATCCATCCATCCATCCCTCATCCAATCATCCTTCTATTATTGATCAATATCATGGATAGAGACATAGAAAAGGGCTGCAAAGTTTTGCAATAAATAAAATTTTTAAATATTGTAATTGCAATTAAATTAGATTTGTGTGTGGCAGCTGCATGTACAATTATTATTATTAATAATAATAACAGTCAAAATAATACAAATGAGCTTAAAATAAAAATTTAAAGGGTTTATTGCATTAATAACAGGCCATATTTTTAATAAATAAACAAGTTATCATTCATAGTACACTAAATTTTAAACATTTTAAATTCCAACATTGTTTGTGAACGTCCAACAAAGTTAAATGTATACTCAAACCTGAAAAGTTGTTTGGCTCCGTTTTCATTTGATTATCGTTGTACACTTGGCGTCTTGTTTGTAACACTGTGTTATAACTAACCCCGCAGTGTATTACATATTTTAATCCTAGCTAACAGTAGCTAGGAATTGCTGACATGTTTCAAAACGGTGCTATGTTTGAGCTAACAAGACAGTGATTAAGGCAATATAAAGTTAGATTTGGAAACGTATACACCCAACTCCGAAACCGAAAAAAAAAAATCTATGGTGAAAAAATTTACTTGTGTGGTGTCAAAACACTCTTTGTCCAGTATCTTCACGAAATATAATCAAAACTTTCCGAAAATTCGCGGGAGACCGTCTTCTGGCAGCAAGAGAAAAAGAGCGGAAAGACAGCCTGCTTGATCCTGATTGACTATGTAAACGTGTTACATTTAACCCCGCGTTAGGTTGTGCCCCGCGCTCCCTTACCTTTTCTATTGAGGAAGAAGATGTGAAGGTAAAGACAGTTGCTTTATATAATAGATGGTTTGATTTGAATCCATTTCAAATGCATTCTTTGCCTGATTTGAAACTCTAAATATGTAACAATTGATTTCAATAGTTTTCTTTTAGTATGTTTGCTTCGATAACAATGCAGTACTGTAATAAGCATAACGTAAAATAGTCTGTCTCTTAATAGATTTAATTATTTTAATTGATCATTTTTAATATTGATTTATATTAATCAACATTTCTCTCCCTTTATGGCCCTGTTGGTTATATGTTTGATTAGATTCATTGAAGTACTGTCTTTCCCTTTGTCTCAAACAGAATTATCTTTAGCAACAGTCTAAAATATCTGGAGTCTTTGTTGCTGCCTATGTAGTAGGTCACTAGGTTTTGGAACAAAGAAATATGTGTCTGTGTGTGTGGTCTCAGTGTTGAGTTAGCATGTTCAGCTGATTGAGCAAAGACTTAACCAACCGAACATATTAAAAGCATCTATTTATGAATGTTGTATGAGTCTACAGAGACAGGTGCTTGTATACTGACACTGGGTCTTGACAACCACCAGCCGTTACCCATGATCCCTCTCTCTCCCATACTTAGTGACCGCTGATTTTTCCTCACAGGGGAGCCACACAAGACCGGCACGGATGAGTCAAAAAATACATCTACATAGACGACTCAGACGAAAATAGGAAGAGAGAGAGTGGGAGTGAAAGAGGCTCTAGGTTGTGTCACATGGTTTTCTGTATTTGTGTGAAACAAACTAATTTATTTATGCACTGCAGCTATAAGTATCTTGTCTCACACTTACACTACTCTTCAAAAGCTTGGGGTCAGTAAGACTTTTATTTTGTTTAAAGAAATTAATACTTTTAGTCAGCAAGGACACATTCAATTGATCATAAGTGACAGTAAAGACACATAATGCTCCAAAATAGTTCTAATTTGAATGAATGCTGTTCTTTTCCATCTTTTTGTTCATTAAAGAATCCTGAAAAAACGGTTTCTCAACACAATGATAAGAAATGTTGCTTGAGCAGCAAATCAGGATATTTTAATGATTTCTGATCATGTGACAGTAAACTAGAGCAACGACTGCTGAAAGCATAGAAAAAAGTTATTTAAAATTCAAATAATACATTTTTTGTTCAAATAAATGCAACCTTGTCGAGCATAAGAGACTATTTTTCAAAACATTAAAAATCGTAGGAACGTAAGTATCACTAGGGTATGTGCGGGACCAGTGGCGTAACGAGCCAACACCGGGCCCCTAAGCAGGATTTTTAATTTTTAATGTACCTCACAAAATTTTCATTTGTGAGATACGGTCTTTTAAGCATGAAAGAAATGAAAATGTATTTGTCAAATTCCTCTTTCCGTTTGCACTTTTAAAAGACACTTTTGTGTTTGTAATTTGACGACTCCATATCAATCTCGTTCAAATTTTTTTGAACGTTTTGAGCATGTTCACCCGGGGATTCCCCAGTCCCAATTGAAACAAATTACACCAAAATCCATCATTGTTTGTTTCAAACACATTTAATTATCAGTAAAATATGTTGTCGTCATTATTTATTCAAATAAATTTGCAAAAATTAAAATGCGATCAGACTAAAAGTAGAAAATGCGATGGGGGGCTCAGCTGTCAATCAATATCTTCCAGTCACGCGGGCCCCTGATTGGTCCAGGCCCGTAAGCAACCGCGTACCCTGCTTACCAATAGTTACGCCACTTCGCGGGACGTCACTGACGGCCGGAGTGACTGCGGTTACAAAAAGACTGAATGACTGAGTTGCTTTGCATTTGACTGTACAACTACATTTTATATAGGTATATTTTTACAGACTTCCAAAAGCTACCCCGGAAATTCATTGAAACAACTGAACTCCAGGCACCGCAAAGTGCATTTGCAGTCGTCATTTTGTGTCAATGTGCTGAATTTAGGGGTAAAAAGTAAAAACATACCCTATATATTGTGTTGTTGTATATTGTATTAACAACTCATTCATTAAATATTTACCACCGTATATTCTGCATAATTGGACGTTTTAAAATAAACGATTTTGACGATATATATATATATATATATATATATATAGATAGAAAACATAAGTCATATAAGTGATCACCCGGATATAGACCAGCTGTATTGTATTTATATGAAGCTTTAGTTTATCGTTTTGTTTTCCTCGCGTTTTCGCAGTTTCCTCTATTAAATCCAGTCATGAAGCAGCTCTTTTGCCACTTAGTCCGGCAGGAAAGTGACGACAATGCATTCCCTCTATTGACGGTGGGCATTGCTTTCAAGTACTGAAAGAAACAACAAATTCTATCAACATTTCCTTACCCTCATGCCATCCCCTATGAATTTGACATCTTTCCGATAAACGCATACAAAGAATGTTAGATAACAGATCTTTCTCTGCTTTGATTCTTTAATACTGTCATAGAAGTGTTCATGTGAAGGACATTGTGATAAAGTTCATTGATGACATTGTGAAGTTTCACAGCACACTTACGTCACAAGGACCCTTTCGTAAACACTCATATGACAGCAGACCGGATGCAATGATTTATAGTTAAACAAGTCAAAAATATTAGTCGTTTTCTTATACACACCTATCGTTTCGCTTCAGAAGACATTGATACGTCCACTGGGGTTGCAGGAATTACCGCCATGATAGCTCATCAACCGAGCAGCAACACCCATTCACTTGCATGATATGAAAGTGCAAGATATAAAAATATTTGCCTATGTTTATCTGAAGGAAGAGAATCATATACCGTCAATCGGGAATGGCATGAGGGTGAGTAAATGATGAGAACATTTTCATTTTGGGGTGAACTATCCCTTTAAATTGTTAAGAAACCAAATTTGCTAAGGAGAACCAGATTCGGATTCAGAACAATTTTCTTTTCATCCCTGAAGATTTATATAACTTCCTTATACGTAACTGGAATAGCCCTGCTTTCCAATCCAATCTGGAGCTTCACTAGACACACTTCATATGTATGTAGTTATAATTTGTCTTGATTTTTACTAGTTGTGCAAAGGCACATGAATAAACACACTTAAGTTAGTGCATATTGTGAAAGAGACCGTAAAAGCAAGGCCTGGGGTTGCATGAGTCTCTACCTGTGGGGGATGTTGGATACTGTGCCGTGAGCCACAGAACAACCAATCACTTTCTCAGAAAGTCATGTGACCACCGAGCAACAGCCAATCGGATGGCCATATAATCTGGTGAGAGCATCTTAGTCGCCTCAGAGCTTCTCCGATCGGCTGTAATTGAGGAAGTGTTGCTGTTGCTGTAGCGAGGGAGGAGAGTGAGTCATGGCTAGGACTAATTTTAGCTGCACAGCACAGTCAGGGGGTTTATTTTTCCCCCCACATTTTTTTTTTTTTTTAGGAAATCGTTATTAGAGACTACTTATCAATCAGAGACAAAACGGTGAAAGAAAAAAAAAATAGTGGCTCTAAACAATTCATTGTGTGTTATCTCTTTGTGAAGAAATGGTTTCTTGCTTGTAACCAGATTTGTTTTAATTTTATTTATTTATTTCTAAATATTTGAGCGAGATTTTGTTCTAGGAATAGTAGAGTTGTTTACTCACCCTCATGATGTTGTTCCAAACCTTCTTTCTTGCTTATGTGAAACACCAACGAAGATACATTACAAAATGTACGGAGCAGGGTCTAAAAATAAACTTTTCAATTAAGGGTCAATATACAGTATATATGAGAGCAATTTTTACACATGGATTGCTTAACACTCCTCAAAGTAGGCATACAAAAATTGCATAATGTCATGAGATTAATGCTATTTTTCTCAGCCTATGTAAAGTAGGCTGTCAACGGTGACTAATCCAAATACCTCTTATTGGCCATTGCATTCATATGCTCAACAGATACGTATGTGGTTGGTTGTAATAGTCAACACTTTTCATTCAATTTCACATTTAATTTTAATTGTGGCAGTCATAATATATTTAGTTTAATAGTGAACAGGCAATTTTTGCCCCTTTATATTGAATTTGAGGGACATTTTTGTTTGTGCAATTAATGTCCAATTCTGATGTGGGGTGCAATCTGTTTGTAATGGGAATTGAGGCTGCCGATATTTAAATTTTTACATCTTTACAACTTATTTTCAGATTTAAGTATCTTCATATGTTTAGCAGAATATGCAATGTCAGTTTGACTCGTGAACTTTTGGGTCATGCCTAAAGTAAATGATCTCAGGCATGTGAAGTCCAGCAGAAATAGACTCTCCCACAACTGAACTTGTGGAGGAAGGAAGAAGGGAATAAAAGACAGGATGTGACATCAGATGGGGGTCAGAGTGGCCCTGTAGGCCACTCCATTGATTCTTCCTGTCCTTTAGTGCTTCAAAAAGATATGACTTCAGCGTCTGAGCATTTATGTTATGTAAAGATGGTGGGCATAATTATCTCTCGCTTACAGGCACAGTTCCACACAATGCATGGCAGTCAACGTCCCCGATGACATCATGCCAGAGAATCTGCTGCTTTGTGTCGTTACCATGGCAGCTTTTTTTTATAGTTCGTAAGCTGGCTGTTCAATCATGGATATATATGGAGGGATGGGGCATATGGGACATTTATAGTATAGACTTTGACTCAAGAGTCATAATCCTCTTCCATACCGAGCTTACTTTATATATAGATTCACTAAAGTTATATATGTATGTGCTATTAAGCCTGACACTTTTAACTCTGTGACTTAAAGTATTTGCTTTCTTGTTGTCTGCCCACAGAAGGATGAGGTGTATCTGAATTTGGTTCTGGACTACGTCCCTGAGACCGTGTACAGAGTGGCGAGACACTACAGCCGCGCTAAGCAGACCCTTCCCATGGTTTATGTCAAGGTGCGGATCATCCCTAATGGTTTCTATTGTGTGTCCTGTCCTCTGAATGATGTGTACATCCTGAGTGAAAACCTTCTCACTGGTTAGTTTACGGGTCAGCCGAGTTTGTGTTGGCATTTCTTCCCTCTCCTCCTGTGCAGTTTTGCGTCACCAGTGTCTTGACTGCTGTGATGACATCATCATGGCTTTGTGCTGTGTCCTTTGTGCTATATCCTTCCTGCTATTGGCAGGATGTGACATGAAGAGTGAAACACAGAACACACACTCACACATATACAGAAACAATTATATGTGAAGACCTTCCACATAGATGTTAAATCAGTGGTTATCAACCAAAGCAAAACCTCCAAAAAACTTGCATATATAATTTGTCATTTTATGTTTTGCATTCTATTTGACACATCAGGCTTTTATGGCTCATATAGTATGATATAGGAGAATATGGAGCTCATACTCAAAGAGTAAATAAACACCTCATATTTATTCAGAGGCACAAATTTATCAAAAATATGCAATGTTGTGCAGTTGATATTTTACATGGTAAAAAGGATCAATCAGATGATAAAAGGCATTTCCAAGAGCAATAGTTTATTTTTTTTTCAGCAAAGTTTTGGAAATGTGCATATCAAATGTGTTACAGGAAGCTTCATTGGGTTGATAAAATCTATATTATTGATAAAAATATATAGTTACGCCAAGCTCTAAACTATGTTATCGGGTAGATACAAAAAATAAATAAATAATATATATATATATATATATATATATATATATATATATATATATATATATATATATATATTTAACCTTATCTTTAATACTTGGAAATGGAAAAGTTAAGGGACCTTTGAATATTGTTTGGACAATGAGGGATCTTAATGAAAAAAAAAAAGTTTAAGAACCACTGTTTTAAATGAATCGTTTAATCAAAAAAGTGAAAATTCTGTCATTATTTCTTTAGCATTATATTGGTCTAATCCCATGTCACTTTTTTATCTATGAAACTGAAAAAATGAGAATTTTGAAGAATTTTGTGGCCACTCTTTTCCAAATTATGTGAAAGGGTCTGGGGTCTCTCAAGATCCCCCAAAAAAGCACCATAAGTGAGTCATAAAAGTAGTCCATATGACTCATGAACTATATTCCTAGTTATCAAAGCTATAAATCTTGTTGAACATAGCAAAAATAGTTATCTAATGATCTTTTCCTCCATCAAAGTTCTAATGGAGCAACACCATTGATGTCAGTGTTGCCATTTTTGCCATATATTAGTTGTGTTACTTCAGAAGGGTCACATGGACATCTTTTATGATAGTTAAACAGTATTATGGTGGTTTTATGCTATTTTGGATCTTAATAGCACCTGTCCCCAACATTCATTTCATTAAATGGAAAAGAGCACCCATGATATTGTTCGAACATTCACCTTTTTAGTTCCATGGGGGAAGAAAGTCATTTGGATTTGGAACAATGGGTTTGGAAAATGTTCACCATTGGTCATTCCATTAAATAGTTTGATATTTCAAGCCATGAAGGCAAAATTATATTCTACATTTTTATTGTGCATAATTTGTGACCTGTTATGACGTCTTTTCTAACCTAATGACCTGTGTATATTTCCTTTGTCTTCATCACTGCAGTTGTACATGTACCAGCTCTTCAGGAGTCTGGCCTACATCCATTCCTTTGGGATCTGCCATCGGGACATAAAACCCCAGAATCTTTTGCTGGACCCAGACACAGCCGTGCTTAAACTCTGTGACTTTGGCAGGTCAGTTGGTAATCTCTTAAAAGCCAATTCATAGGAGTCAATGCCCTTTCTGATTACCTTTAAAGGTCTAGTGCCGACCCCAGTGGATCTATGAACTGAAAGCATCGCTTTACTGCATTTAACCTGATAATCCCATATTACACCTCGCCAGGGGCCTCCAGATGGTCTCGCTATGCTCTGAGATATCTGTGCTGACTTCATCTTTTTCAATTTAACCTGCTTTCCATTTTTTCTGCTTTGGGGTCCTAGTGAACATTTTAGGTGAAGTGATATTCGGGTATCCATTTTTCTTTTGCCGTACATGGGTTGACTGAAAAGAGAGCATGTGATCCCGCTGCTTAGATAAAAAAGAATACACATTTTCTTTGAATTAGGATGTGTATATTGGAAGAGACCTTTAGGTGTTAACAACTCAACTTAACATCTGGACATCAGATTTCATTTGACTTTATAGCTCTTACCTAAAATATAGGAAAACTTTAGTCCAAACACTTTTAGGGGTTAGAGTTACTCAAAAGTGAACATTTAGTCATTTACTTGATCTCATGTTATTCCAAATATTTGTCTTTATTTTTATTTTTTCTGTGAATCACAAAAGTAATTTTCCATACAAAGCAGGGCCTTTTCATATTTAGCCAATTCATACATTTTTACTGATCGGATAGTCATCCGATCGTGAAAAGACTAGTTGTAAATCCCCTCTGAAATACTTTCAAAACTTGAAATTAGCTGATGATCAAATAAACTTTGCATATAGCATGGGAATTAAAGATTAGAATTATATTTATTTTGTGGAGACACATTTATGAGGCCAAGTGTAAATGAAACAGTTTTAACAAATCAGAGAAAATGAATGGTGGCCCAAAACACTGAATAGTGATTTAAACTGCCAACAAGCTGCATACAAATATAGACATACTCGATTAAAATTGTGATGTGTGATCAGAGAGTTACAGTGAAAATATGTCTTTTTGTTCACAGTGCTAAGCAGTTAGTACGTGGAGAGCCCAACGTTTCCTACATATGCTCACGGTACTACAGAGCCCCTGAACTCATCTTTGGAGCAACCGACTACACCTCCAGCATAGGTATATAAGCTTCAATCATACTAAACCACATCTACAATGCAAATTATTTCTGCTTCAATAAACTACTCTTCCATTAGGCTAATATCTTTTATCATGAAAAAGATGCAAAATTAATACCAATAGTGACCCTTGTGAAAGTACACATAAGCACACTTTTATATGAGTACTACAGTATGATAAGCGTATTTCCTTATTACGGAAATAATATACTTAAGTGCGAACTGAATGTAAAGTTTTTGGACAGTTAATTGCATGTTAATTGCAATTAGATACAAATGTATTATAGTTTTAAATAATATTAAGTGGCCTATTATTTTATTAATATAATATATGCAAGTACTATTTTTTCTTTTAAGAATTAAAGTACACTTCATGTGCACATTTAGTAGAATTAAGCTAGTTTAGCAAGTTTAGCCATAACCGAACGTCCAGTTTAACTGCCACAGGTTGATCTTCTTGTAATATAGAACTCATCGTGGAAAAACACGCTGTATTTTTGTATTTTCATTGCATTTTTAATTGATAAAAAGTTAAACAAATTAAATAATACATTTTAGTACAAATATTAAGGATTAATCGATAGTCGAATGAATGAATGAGTGTCACGTCTTGCTTGTTTACTTCAAACCAGAAGACGCGCCCACTTTTGACGCAAGGCCTCATGGGACGTAGGAAACTTGTGTATAGTGGCCACCTTGTTTACTAAATATTGTATCAGGAATTGAAAAGTCATCAATTACACTTTATTTTTATAGTTCACTTTAGACGTTTTGCTACATTTGCTACATGCTACATGTCAACTAACTCTCTTTAGAGTATTAGTAGATTGTTAGGTTTAGGTTTAGTAGAATAAGTACATGCTTAGTAAGTGAAATGTCTGTTGAGGGCATCAAAATAAAGTGCAGATTTTAAGCAAACAGTGGATTAATACTCTAATAACTGCTTGTGTATGTAGTTGCAAAGTTATAGTTAGTTTAATGTCTAAAGTAGACAATCGTAATAAAGTGTTTTTTGTCCATTATTGAAGATAATAGGCCTTGTATGGAGCTTAAGTATCTCTTGTCAGCTCAAGGATTTTTACTCTCATTCTGAGCATTTTTTTTTTTTTTGCTTTTTTGTTTTTCGTGCCATTTGTGATTTTGCAAGGGCATGCATTGAACATAGAAAAATAGAAGGCTCATAGTGTAAAAGAAGTTTTGCTTTGTATGCGTCCTTGACCTCTGGCTGATGCGAATGTCCCTCACTCTGACCCCCTTTCTCTGCAGATGTGTGGTCAGCTGGCTGCGTGCTGGCGGAACTGTTGCTAGGACAACCGATTTTCCCTGGCGACAGTGGAGTAGATCAGCTGGTGGAAATCATCAAGGTACTGGCGCCGCGACACCGGCACTTCTGTCTGATTTAATCTCTAGGTTTGCATGAGTTTGTAGGAAGACCTATGAACTGACTGTTGCGCAGATGGTTAGTTCTGTACAAGATGATTTATGGGTGTTTCTTCAAGTAAAGGCAGGTTTGGCCCTGTGGGCTTTTAGGAGGTACAATCTCTTAAAACTTTTACCATACTTTTACCATAAATGCTTGTCGTTACATTCTGCAATATACTTTAAAAATTCAAAAACAATAGAAGTAATTATGAAATTATATACAGTATAAAGATTAGAGGGTTAACTGAAAGGGTTATGTCATGGTTTACTCACCCTCATGTCATTCCAAACCTTTAAGACTTTCGTACTTTTGATATTTACATGAAATCTGAGAGATTTCTGTTCCTTCATTGACAGCCCATTCAATACTTTGACGCTTCCAAAAGTTTATATTGAGATCATAAAACGAATCCATATGAATCGAGTGGTTTAGTCCAGATTTTCTGAAGAGACACAATCGCTTTATATGATAAACAGATTGAATTTATGCTTTTATTCACATATTAGATTTGATAAAGGTTTACTAAGCCTTTTTTTATTTTTGTTTGTTTGTTTTATAATTAATTTTAGGAGCAAAGTTTATTGTTTTACACTTTTGATATAAAAAAAACAACAACAGAAGTTTCAAATGATAATTTTTTTTTTTTTTGATAAACCATATCACATTTGATAGAGGCTCAAGCATGTTCGCTTGCCGTGTGAGAACCAATGAAGTTCATTCTTGTGTTACGCAGCGTGTTTGAGCTTCCACATGAGGTTTGTTCTTGCACGTCAAGTACAGTTTATGTTCACTGATAAATGTTTACGTGAATAAAAGCCTACATTCAATCTGTTCATCATATAAAGCAATCGTGTTTCTTCAGAAAAGAGGATTAGTTTTATGATCTCTTTGGAAACTTTTTGAAGCGACAAAGGCTGCATTTACACTGCAGGTCTTGATGCACGAATCCGATTTTCTGACTATATCCGATTTCTTTTTACATCATCTTTTAAAAGTGACCCGTATCTGATTTTTGCATTTACACTATACACTGCTGAAACTACCAAATGTAGACGTTCTGACCTGGAAAATTAAGTAAAACAGCACAAAATTCAATGGATGTAGATGCGAATAAAATGATCCAGTGTTTTTCTTAAAGTCATCAAAACATTGGTCTCGTATGGCGGAGAAAAAGAGGAGAGCCCTTGTTGGTACTGTAGCCACGAGCTCTTAAAACTTTATTTTATTTCTGTAACATTAACAAAAAAAAGTTGCCCCAAACACTCAAAAGACATGAAACCTCCACATTGCTCCACTGTGTGTATCCGTTGTCTTCCATCGCACTTATTTGCCACATATGAGTGATCTGAGAAATATTATATACCACATATGAGTGATCTGAGAAATATTATTTACCACATATGAGTGATCTGAGAAATATTATTTACCACATATGAGTGATCTGAGAAAATCGGAATCCATGCGTTTTTTTTTTTTCCCTGATTACACATTCACCGGTCATATCCGATCTGTGCCACGAGAGGAAAAAATCGGATTTGGGTCACTTGAAACATGCAGTGTAAATGAGGCCAAAGTGGTAGAGGTTCGTACGGTCAACGGAGGGACAGAAATCTCTCGAATTTCATTTAAAATATCTTCATTTGTGTTTCGAAGATGAATGAAAGTCATACAGGGTTTGAACGACATGAGGGTGAATAAATTATGATCATTCATTTTTTTCATTATTGGGTGAACTAAAGGGTCCTACTTAAGTAAACACTACAGTTCAGATAATTGCATGTAATACCGACATCATTTTGTAGAAAATGTATAATTAAAAATAATTTTCACAAAATAAATATTGAAATAGTCTATTCTACTATTTTTATCATTTGAAAATTCTGTTGTTGTTTTTATATCAAAAGTGTAAAGCAGCAAACGTTATTCCTAAAATTAATTTGGAAACAAACAAACAAAAATAAGAAAGGCTTGGTAAAACTTTTATAAAACCGCAGGAACATAAAGTTGGCTGTAGATGAACAGCATTATATTACTGTGACTTGACTGGTCTTTCTCTGTGTTTGTGGTCACAGGTGCTTGGCACTCCCACACGTGAGCAGATTCGGGAAATGAACCCAAACTACACCGAGTTCAAATTCCCCCAGATTAAGGCCCATCCATGGACTAAGGTGAGTAAACAGGTACAGGTCAACTGTTTTACTACTTCTAGCACAGCCGCCTTCCACCTCCAGCCCTCAGCTCGACTCCTCATCCTGGCTCCATTTCATTCACATCACCTCACAGGACTCGCCGACATCACTTTATTTCATTTATTGCTCTTGGACTCTCTACTTCTCAACTAGTTGATTAAAGAGGATGGAAAATTTCAGTCAGGATTGTGTCTGACTGTAGTCGTCCTCTTTCTGAGGTCCGTTGTGACCATTACAGTCGCACTGTTCCGATTTCTAGTGAGCTGCCTATGAAATAATCCTGTTCAGAAAGGTGGGCCGAATAATTATGCAGCTTTGTAAAATAGCTTGATTTAGAAGAGAAAAGGCAATTCCATAATGCACTATGAAAAAATAAAAAATCCAAGATGCTTGCAAAGAAATTATAAATATGTAAATATATATTATGTATCAATATAATTGTAATGCATTCATTACTAAATTTAAATAAAGTTTAAAGGGCCTATTTTAAGTGTTCTATGTATTATAATAAGGTTGCTGCATATTTAGCCATTAGTCAGGATGGCATTTCACTAGGTTTTGGAGCAGAACCACTGTCAGCACGTGATGTCACATCCGCATGTTCATTTGAGTTGAATGACCTCACCAGATATGCTCTACATTGCTTACTGACTTCATTGCACTTAGTTGTTGTTTGCTATGTGTTCGTTGTTTTTGGTTTAGATTGTGCTTGTGATATATATACTGTTCAAAAGTTTGGGGTCAGTAAGATTTATTTTTTAAAAAGATAAAAAAATTTTTTTAAATCTTAAAAAAAGATTTTTTAAATTGCTTTTTTTATTCAGCAATTATACGTTAAATTGATCAAATGTGGTATTCATAATTAAACAAAAAAAGTTGGCCGCACAACTAATTTCAGAAATGTTTCTTGAGCATATTAGAATAATTTCTGAAGGATCATGTGACACTGAAGACTGGAGTAATGATGCAGAAAAATTAGCTTTGCCATCACAGAAATAAATTACATTTTCAAATATATATTTATATAGAAAACAGTTATTTTTTTAATTCTAATAACACTTCACAATATTTACTATAGGCTTGAGACTTTTCAATTTCAAAACCATCAACAAAAAAATCTCACTGACCCCAAACATTTAAGCAGTATTGTAGATTTTGCCTTGCAACTGAAACTGTTAGCATGTACATTAAACTGAACTTGCTGAGTCATTTGAAAATTGCAGAAGGACAGCTAAACTGTTCTGGATGGACATGTTTCAACTGGTAATGAGTCTTCTTTTGTATGATTAGAAAGGAATTTTAGAAATTTACTTTTAGGTATTTTTTTTTTTTTACCTAAACTAATTGTCAGTTTAAGATAACACTTTAATTTAGGGTCCGATTCTCATTATCAACTACTAGTAGTTGCTTATAAGCATGCAGATTATTAGGAATTATTAAGCACATAATTATACCTTATTCTGCATGATCATATTCTACATCCCTTAATCTTATCCAATACCTTACCTTAACAACTACTCTACTCACTAATTACTATAATTAATCAGCAGTAATTTGGAGTTTGAGGCAAAAGTTGTAGGTAATAGTTAGTTAACAATGGTAATTAGACCCTAATCTAAAATGTGGCCCAGTTAAGTTATTACTTTACATTTTACTTTACAAGTATTATGCAGAAATGGCGATTAAATGTGCCTGGCCATTTACCCAACACTGTAGTCCACATCAAGTATAATGGCAGGATCTCTCAGATGCCCCCTGGTGGTCATTGTGTATAGTACACGACTGAGCTGCAGGGTGTGTTTAGTCTTGTCCTGCTTCCAATCAGACCCCTCCCTTCCAGACAGTCTTACCTTCTGCACGGGATATGGCCAAATGCCTGAGACTCAAATGCCTCTATAAGATAAATATTCCTTCCTATTTCTCTGTCAGAACAAGGCTAATTTCAGTTGAATTTTTCCTAGGATGGGCCATTTCTTTATATACAAGCACCTCAAAAAGCATTTGAACATTTTACCTTCATTACCCAGTGGCAAAAAAGTTCCTTTAAAATCCCATAATGGGACATGATGTCACCCTAAACAGGACAAGTTGCCACAATGGGAACCTGGGGCCTCATTTCTAAAGATGTGCGTGTAATCATCCAAAGTGTGAATAAAGGGTAATTTCCTAAATGATTCATAGATGATTCAATATCCTATTAATGATTCATAAAACATCCATAGGAATAATAATAAAAAAAAAAATTCCTAAAGGCACGCCATGTGAATTCAGGTGAGACGGGAGGAAATATATTCAGAAATATATTCAGTTTGTAAACATGGTGATGTTTTTTTGTGGGCGGAGCTTAGGTGGAGGCAGAACGCCTTAGGGTGGAGGCAGCATTAATTTTTGATCATGTCAGATTATATTTACATTTTATAAATGAGGCCCTTGCTGTTTGTTGATACCAAAATATGTAAAGAAGGGCCATCATAATCTCTGCATATAGGTTTTTTTCTCTTACTAAACTTCTTAAACTTCTCCGCAGGTGTTCCGGCCACGCACGCCTCCGGAAGCCATTGCATTATGTTCCCGGCTGCTGGAGTACACACCGACCGCTCGACTGACCCCACTAGAGGCCTGCGCTCATTCCTTCTTCGATGAACTGCGGGATCCAAACGTCAAGCTTCCTAACGGGCGTGAGAAACCGTCCTTATTCAACTTCACAACTCAAGGTAAAGTGCTATTTTGCATTTGCTTTTATGAAGAAATGTTCGGTCAGAAGCAAGACAAGCCATTTGTGGATGATATTGTTTAAATCAGTTCTTCTTTTCTCTTCACTCAGAGCTGTCCAGTAACCCATCCCTGGCCTCTATTCTAATTCCTGCTCATGCACGTAACCAGGCAGGAGCTTCTACTCCCACCAACACCTCTACCACTTCAGGTCAGTTCTTGTTTTAGACACCTTTGTGCTCATTTTTCATCCCTTATTATTTGTATATAGCTTACTCTGATAAAATGTCCATATTAGGGGACTGCAATATTGAAAAAAATGATACCTCGATATTTTCTGGGATTTTGTCAACATGACATCTTGACTTTTGCGTAAAAATACACGCCACTTTCAAGTCAAGTGGCGTGTTATCTATACGCATTTTGAGCTATCCGCATGTATGTCTACACCGTTAAATATCCAAGTGATTCTGCGTGTATGCACACGCCGTTAAATGTCCGAGCGAAACGAAGCAGAATGTAGATCTACGTCTGGAGAGCGATATTTTTTTCCTAGGATGGTAGGGGAAGACTCATAAATGCTATTAACCCCAGTGACTGGTAGGTTTAGGGACGGGTTTGGGGTAGATCATATATTTATATATACAGTGATGTAACGTTAAGCAAACGACGTTCATAACACGCTGAAAAGCGATTATGCGTGTTGATAGCACGCCAAAAATGGAAATACGAATTGGCGTGTCATACATACGCCATTTCATGAGATCAGTTTGGATTTTGTTGAGTATGCGTGTAACGGAGGCCAGCTAGTAAGAGCTGTGCAAGTAAACCTCACTCCCCTGGTCTCAAGAGTCGCACTAGGGGGACGCTAGGGGACGCTAAGGAACGCTATAGACTGCTGACCTTAGTGTCCTTGTTAGCACGTCTGCTCCCAAGCTGGAGACCCCGATTCTAATCTCACTCAAAGCGGGTCGAGTAGGACTGGTTACATTTGGTGCCGTGACCCGGATGGGAGTGACGTTAAGGGGGGTGAGTGTAACAGAGGCCAGCTAGTAAGAGCTGTGTGGGTAAAACTCACTTCTCTAGGCCTCAAGAGGCGCACTAGCGACTGACGCTAGTCTAGAGAGTGTGATCTTAAGCGCCCTTGTTATGGCGCCCACATCCCATGCTCGTACTGATGTTTGGGGAAAACAGCACTCTTACTCATGTGATACTGCTTAACTATATAATATAGAAATGTAGTACATACAGGGGCCTTTTAGCCCTCATATATTTTATTTTTCAGGCATACTAACTATTCTACTAGGCTACATCATGAATAAGTGGGCTCTCAAGGCATGTTTTTGTTTGGTTATTGCATACTGTACTAAGTGACGTACACGATAATGTCAGCTTCATGTTGTTTGGACCACATGATTTTCTTGGTTGAATCACATGATTTAGATTTTATGGACGTTTTACTAATAGTAATAAGTGGTGAAGTTTCCCTTATTTCCATCATTACCACTGATTAAAATGGATTTCTTTTAATGTGACTTTTTTATTATTTTATTATGACATCAAGACAGTACATAACATACAATATATACTATTACAAATGAAAATATGTTCTCTTTGTGTGCAGATGCCAATAGTGATCGCAGTCAGACCACAACTGCAGCCTCTGCCTCCGCCTCCAACACCTCAACCTGAGAGCCCCAGCCAATCAGAACTGACCCTGCCTCCAGGGCCACGCCCACCCCACTGCTCACCAGCTTATTGGGCAGGATTTGAGTCATGTAACCACCACTCTTATTCAGACTGCAAGAGCCAACCTTCATTTACGTCTTTTTTTTTTTTAACGAAGTTCAGATAGAGTTCGAAATGATATTTGGAAAAGCCATGTCGGGTGTAATTCACGAGAGCGACAGAGAAATCAGTGAGGATATGGTTGGGAAGGGGGGGTTAAACCATAAAACCATAAAACCTGGTCTGTGACCAGCCGGAACTTTTTTTTTTTTTCATTCTCAGAGGACAATCTTGTTATGTAAGCAATCCGGTAGCCAGATCCATCCACTTCCGTTTCCATTTGGACTTCCCTTCTCTCACCTGGACTGTCTCTAGCTACACGTTCAGCCCCTTTCTACTTTTCTTGGTCTCTTATAGCGCATGGCTACCCAATATATATATATATATATATATATATATATATATATATATATATGTGTGTGTGTGTGTATATATGTATGTATTGGGTGAAAAGGATCCTAATTGTATCCTAAAAAACCCACACAGCACTATACAAGAGATATAAATGTAAAAACCGCATGTTCCAACCACAAAGCTAACAGAGAAATTCTCTGTTACAGATGATCCTGGACTTTTAAGTCTCCTGAATGTTTTATTTTGTTTTATAAAATGGGCGGTCTAAGGGGAAGGGCCAGACATTTTGATTGACAAGTGAGACGTGCGTCTCCATCTCTGTGTTCTTGTATGATAATATACATACACAGTTTATATATTACTTTGCATTATGTAAAATAAATATATATATATAGTTATATATAGATCTATATCTAGCATCATCGGTCCAGAATCCATCACGGATTGTCAGGGCAGTGGCGAATTTTACCGCTGGCCAGAATTATACAGTATGTTTATGACTAAGAACTTGGGACACATTTTGCTGGAGCTCCTTTCTTGCAAGCGTTTCACTCTTTTGTGCTGTTTTCTGTTCGCCTGGTAGAATTACTATCACCTTCTGTCCTGATTTCCTCCTGTTATTTATTGTCGCGTGTGGGTCAGTGGTGTAACGCTCAGATTAATTGTTCATATTCACTCTGCGAGTTACAGCTATACATAAAGAATATGTGAAGACAACTCGTCGACGTGGCGCAGACTTCACAGACGACTCTCGTAACGTCAAACTGAAGTGGCTGTGTTGGTTCAACCACTAACGTCTCAACGTGCTTTCAACCTGCTTACAGAAAAATGTACTTTTTCTTCATCCAGAATGTCTTAATACGCAAAGTATAGCAGTACATGAAAATGGCAGACGTGTATATACAGTACAGAAATGTTGCTCCTCACCAAATTCTAGCTTTTACACTTTTATTTGACTTTTATTTTTGTATAATTTGTAAGCATGTGTGAGTGAATGTGTACATGCGTGTGTTCTGCTATGTACATATAAATGCTGACCTGAGAACTGTTAATGAGCGGAAACAAAGACGAGGGATTAAATGAAAAAAGGATAAAAAAAAGAGAAGATTTAAAAGATCAGGGTAAGAATGACCTGTTTGTTGGATACTGTAGACAAGGAGCTTTCTCCAGCCATATAGTTCAATCTTATCTGTACAGTAGGTGCCAGCTATATTATTGTAACTATATCTAGTAATGTATAGTGTATCTATAGTTTGGAGTGCCTTTGCTTCCATACACTTCCTCTCCCTTGGCCACACCCCCTTTCTGTCTACACTCAAGGCAGGCCCACCCCTTCCTGTGACCCTCTGCAGGTGCTGTTGATTGGTCAAGTCAGAATGACTGACAGCCGACTTCATTTTCTGTCACAAACCACACTCTGTGGTATTTCTGTCATGTTTTTCCTTCTTTTTTTTGCTTTGGATTCGCTCACTTATTGGCACAAAGATGTTTTTGTGTGTGGAGGAAGTCACGTTCCTGTGGAGCCAATCACAATGTACGTTCTTACACTCGTTCCTCTACCAAAGCGAACCAACCACGAGCGTGTTGTGACGTAACTGCGACATCCCAGGGGCAATAATAATTTCTTTGGTGTTTTGGCTCGTTGGCCAGCTGACAGTACGCAGTAGAGATGTCCCGTAGCACCCGCCGGACCCTCATCCCCGCACCCTCAATGTAAAGCTTTGCTTGTAAGATACGCGTTCATAGATGTGTTGCTTTCCACAAATGGTGTGACCACTTCTCGTGACTAAAGTTAGAGTAAAAATGTAAAGACACAAGGGTTAAAAACAATTACCAAAATACAAAAAAAAAAAAGACAAAAAAAATGTTTTAAGGACTGCGGGCTACAGACTATCGCATTAAATACACTTATTGGGGGGAAAAAAAAGTTGTCTTGGTTTAAAATGAAAAGAAAAAAAGCAACCTGTATAACATTAATATTACTTGAATGCCTCTGTTTGTGACTGAAATTTTTATTTTATTTTAAATATATTCTTTTTCTGTGAAGGTATGCTAAATGTCTCCTCTCCTTGTAAATATGTCCGTTTTGGTCCTTGGTGTGACTTGGATTCAGAGACTAGTTACCTGGTACTGTAATTTGCATTAAATAAAGAGTAGGATAGCTTGGAAATGACCCTGCATTTGCCATGTGTCTTTCTTTTCGCAGCCCAAAAATGTTAAAAACCAATTAAATGTTTTTTTTTTTTTTTTTTTTTGTCCTCTCCACTCTTGCTTTGTGTTTAAATGTGATTCCGGTAAGTGCCTGGGTTCAAATTAAATGTAAACGGTAATTTAAATGCATTTTATGCTGCTTTAGCTAAAACCGTCTGCCAAATGCATAAAAATATTAATGAAAAAGAAAAGTGCACACTGCCATTTGGGGCTTGTAAGGTTAATTTATTTATTTGATTTTTTTTCATTAATACTTTTATTCAGCATGTGGTAGATGCATTTCATGTACAAAAAAATATCTATTTTAAAAATAAATGCTGTTGTTTTAAATTTATTCAAATAATCCTGGAAAATAAATGTAGGCTACCATGGTTTCCACAAAAATAATAAGCAACAATAAATGCAGTCTTGGTGAGCATATGACACTTCTTTCAAAAAACATTACAAATTAAACAGAATAGTGTAAATGATTTACAAAATTGCACACTGAACGATTCTGCACATTTATTTTCCTGAGAGGGTCTTATGTCTCACACTGAACAAATAACCACTGTAAAGAGAGAAAAACCTGAGTGTAGTGTGTAGTAATTATTCATGTTATGACAAGTTTCCTTATCATTTTGCAGGCAGGATGAAATAATTGCTTAATCTACACAAAATGGCAACATGAGGCATTTTCAAAAGAGTTTGAGCTTTGAACAGATACCTGATACCTGAATCCTCTGCTTTTGTTTGTAGCAAATATGTGAAAGACCCTGTTCCAAAAATACTGAACACCTAGACGGATCCCGAAATATTTGCTCAACATTGTCATATATAAGTACTAAGTGAAAAAGTTTACTCGAAAACTTTCAAAAAGACAATCACTTCTCAAGAAAGTGGCTTAAAATTTCAGAGATTCATCAAAATTGTAGACATTTCGCAAAAGCTTTGTTTCTAATATTCACAACAGATATATATCTATATATGTGATAACCAGTCACACATCACAGAGTGAATCTCACGAAAACTAAAGAACATTATCCAGGTCCAGACATTTCACTTCAAAATCAAATATATTTTTGGACGGATGCCAGAAAAACAATCTCATTACTGTAATGAAAGTTCTAAAAAAGTTGTTGTTTTTTTTCATTTTGGAGAGTAAAATATGACCTGAACATGTTCTTTATAAGATTCATAACTCCGCTTACATCCACTTACATTCTTTGTCTTGTCAAATATAGCTACTAACATATTTTTTTATATAACCTGAACATCATTAGAAGCGAACAGTTTTACATTTGAACACAAACAATAAATAAACAGATTTGTCAGGACATAGGCAGACAATTGATACAGTATGCATCATAGTATCATATCTTCATTTTTATAATTTGTTGTCTCTGGTACAATAACATGATATTTTATAATAATAATCTCTTACAGCAACTTACCCTGCAAAGCTTATTAGGCAACATTTTCCCATAAGGTCCCATTAATGTTTGTTAAAGTTAAAGGTAGTAATAAAAGTAATATTTAATAAAATACAACAGTTACTAAATAATACAGATAGAACTTTGTTTTTTTACAATGTGTTAGTAAATTTTGAAATTAATATGCTTTCGAAGTATTAATAAATGCTTTTGGCAGTTATTTCATGTTAACTAATTAAACCTTACGATAAACTGTTACAACAAAAGGGGAAAATTCAAATGGAATCTTGGTTACATTTAATTTTAAGGTGTCTTTTTTACAGTGTAATTATACATACAAGTACTGAGAAATATCAGGAACATGTACTTACAATAGTGTTAGGTTTAGGGAGAGTTGCATTTAACTATAAATAATTCACTGCAGTAAGTACATGTAACGTGTAACAAACACTAAAATAAAGTGTTACCAAATCTAACATTTACACGACAACGATGTACTAAAAATGGAAACGTTTTTCCTTGCGTTTTTCACGTTCAGACGACAACGTTGTCAAAACGATCTCGGTTCACACGGATGTGCGAAAACAACTAAAAACGCTGTATTATTCATGTCAGGCCAGTAGTTGGCGACGCTACGCACGCACCGCACCTAGACCGAACACCAGTGTTGTAGTCGAGACCACCTCACTCGAGTCCGAGTCGACACCGAGACCAGAGAGAGTCGAGTCCGAGTCAAGACCGAGTCCATAGAGAGTCGAGTCCGAGTCCGAGACCAGAGACGGTCGAGTCCGAGTCGAGACCGAGACCAGTGAGGGTTGATTACCTAATTTACTTTTATTTACTTAGAGAAATCCTTTTTTTTTTTTTTTACTGAATTTACTTAGAGTTTAAAAAATATGATCAGTTTAGGGTAAAAAGGCCACATAGTAGGTGGTGTTAAAAGTAATTTTATTACAATTTGTCATGCGCAGTTGCGCACTAGAAAATCACCAATCACTGGGCGTGTCAATCAATTTAAAGAAATATTTTATTCACATACATTAATAATCATGAAAAATATTTTTAATTGAACTCGAGTGGACTCGGGAATAATTCCGAGTCCTAAAAAAAAAAAATGTTCGAGTACGAGTCAATTCCGAGTCCAAATGGACACGAGTCCATGACAAGACCAAGACCATTAAAATATGGTCTCGAGACCGAGACGAGTCCGAGTCTCGAGTACTACAACACTGCCGAACACTTAATACGCACGACGTCACTGTTTTCACAAAATCTCGTTTTTGTACTTTATACAGAGACAATAACAGTTTCGCTTTTAAACACTTAAAACCTGTTTTCACTGTTGTCGTGTAAATGAACGCCAAAACGCATTACAAGTTTTACGTTTTCAGTTCCGTTTTAAATCGGTGTTGTGTAAACGGCCTCATAATCTTCAAGCTTCATTCATGCAGTCAATGTGAGAGATAAAACAGTGATGTGCCATCCTACATCTGCATATGAACCACAGAAATTGTTCTTTCGCCGAAAACACTCCGAACACAGACTGCTTGTCAGATAAACACAATTACATTACATTTAGGAACAATTTCACGATTACCCTGTGCTGCTGTTCAGTAGTTCATCATCAGTAGTCACCGACCCTGTCCTTGCGAGTTTTGTCTAGTCTTTAGTGTCCTAGCAGCCGTCTTTACTTATTATTTCCAACCAAAGCGGAGACACTTCAGGCTGAATGTCCTGGATTTTCAGCACCTGTTTTGTGTACTCTTCGTTCATACTCCTCATCTCGGTCAGGCACGCCATGATCTTCGGGTACAGCAGACTAGCAGGAGGAGAAGGTTAGACTGCGAGTGTAATCGAAGGAAACTTTTTCCTAATTAGATGGAAAGAAAGCATGCTTACTGCTTCTCTGGCTCAGCCCTCTTCGCCTCGATGTAGGTCTTCAGGGTGAGAGCTAGCGTTTCCTGGTTACGGTCGACCACATTGTGTTGCGTCACACCAGGCCGATCTGTGGACGAACACACACGTGAGATTTTAAAGGGATAACTTCCATATATATATATATTTTTTTTTAAGTGGAAGTCAATGGGGACTAGTAACTGTTTGGTTAACAACATTCTTCAAAATATCTTTTGTGTTCAGTAGAACAAAGAAACTCATACAGGTGTGGAACATCTTGAGGGTGAGTAAACGATGACAGAACTTTCATTTTTGAGTGAACTATCCTTTTAAACAGCGGCTCATGTGTGTTTGTGTAGCTTCATCTGAGGTACCTGGTGAGAAGAGCGAGATGGCCTGCATCAGCACATACTCCTCTTCGTGTAAGTGCAGCTTGCGCAATGTGTAATGGAAATTCATCATAGGGTCCAGCAGATGCTGCTGAAAACCAGCTGTCCGGTGGAGGAGGAATGAAGGAACACGTGGCAGAAAGAATAAAGTGTAAGAAAGCAACAAATCGATGCGTGATGTATTTTTGTAAACTGCAAATGTGATACATGCTCACCTAAGATTAATTGACTTTTTATTGACATTTTTCAATTTTAAAGGTGCAATGTGTACAAATTTTGAGATGTATTAACAGAAATGCAATATGACATCCATAACTGTTTTCAGTGGTGTATAAAAAACTTACTTAATAAACCGTCATGTTTTTAGTACCTTAGAATGAGACATTTATATCTACATAACCGCAGGAATCCCCTCCTATGAAGGTTGACATATTGTGACATCATGTTTCTACCGTAGCCGACAGCGAACAAACAGCGCTACAGAGCGCGTTTCGACACTACCTTAAAAGAGAAGCCGCAGAAACCTATGCTAGCCATAAACACCGTGAGTAGTGACTTCTCCCTGTCAGTAGTGTAAAATATGTAGTTGGATTGTTTCATGTAACTTAGTTCTTTTCCCTCGCTGTGTTATGGGTTTGGTATGTGGGGATAAATGTGCTGGTTACGTTCGTGAGACAGCTGATTAGTACTCTTGTCATTGACCGTTAAACAGTATGTTACAGGAATCACTAACCTGTCGATCGCGGTCGACATGTCAGTCTTGGAAGCATTTTAAGTTGATCGCGAAGAGTTTTCAAAATCTGAGAAAAAAAGCCTATTGTGTGTAGTAAATGGTGTCTGTGGGATGCTGAGGCACGCACACTGTAACAATCATGTTATTTTTGCTGTGCGCACCTTAGGGCTCATGCGGATGCGTCGAGTTTAAACAAGGCTTTACGCTTTAACCAGCTCAGCCACAGTACCAGATCATCATCAGCTCACTTTCTAGTAGCTGTGCCGAGTGAAATCTGAATAATTCCCTTCTGAATCTCACACAGAACGGAGAGAGTGAGTATTAGCTGTCCGTGAGCTAGCAGTAGGATCAACTGTATGACTATCTATGGGCTTCTCCCTCGACTTTATCGGTCTTTATGCCTCCAAGTCCCCCCAATTGCTTGCGAGCTTCTCCTCCTGTCGATGGAGAGTCGATTCGTTATGATGCAATGCAATCGTTAGCCTAGGGGTGTGCGATATGATGATTTTTAATCGTGGATGATTAAAATGTCTCCACGATCTGCTTTTGAAGAAATATCGTAGTATCGTGTTACAGTGCATTCTATCAGTTCAGTCGCCTCTGTCTCAACTGTACAACGCGACGTAGCCTACACATCACACGTTAATGAATAGGTATGGGACACTGCAATTCACAAAAGTTCATTATTTGCATAAGCCTTGCCGGTTAAACATTTAATTCACGCGCTGTTCTAACGTGCGCTTTCCTGAACACATACCCAGCACCAGAATACTAGACTAAGTTATCTTTCGAGTCTTATTATGCTAATACTGTTAAATACACACAATGTTTACATAAACAGGCTATGTCTAAAGTGAAAGCAAACATTTGAGAGAATATCTGTTGTAATATGCGTCTATATTAAACGCGTCGCGTGCTGGTCTAAAAGCGACAGGAATAAATACTGCTGCTTGTCCTTAAAGGGATAGTTCACAAAAAAATTATTTTTTTTTTAAATCTGTCATTATTTACTCACTCTAATGTTGTTCCAAACCTGTATTAATTTCTTTCTTGTGCTGAACACAAAAGACGATTTTTTTTTAATGTGGGTAACCAAACAGTTGCTGGTCCCCATTAAAAGACGATTTTTTTTTAATGTGGGTAACCAAACAGTTGCTGGTCCCCATTAACTTCCACGAGAGAACCTATAAAAAACTATAGGGGGACCAGCAACTGTTCGGTTACCTACATTATTCAAAATAACTTTTATTTTCAACAGAAGAAAGAAACTTATTCGGGTTTAAAACATCTTGAGAGAGTAAATCTTGAGTGAGACCATTTTCATTTTTGAGGGAACTATCCCTTTAGTGTTAATAAAACAAAAAAACACAAGGAGAAAATCACTCACTGACTGAGAACTTTAATAGTAGCTTTAGAATAAATAAGAATCAATTTATTCAGTGAATTCTATGTAGTGTTTTAATTTCATATTTGTTAATTTAATTACTTTCTTCAATGCTACTGCTAAATACACCTACTGCATCTGAAAAAATAAAGCGCTATTTATTTAATTTCAATATTAATTTGTGTAATGTTTATCTTGTCTTATTTTTTTAATAACAAAGAAAATAATGACAAAGATTTTTATCTTCGCCACTGGCCTAAATGTATGCCTTACTTTTTTTCTTTTGTTACCTGGCTTTGTTTTTAACATAGGGACATTAGTTTGGCTGTAATGAACAGCCACTTGCAAAATATTAAAACCAAATTGAAAAAGAATCGTGATAAAAAATCGTGATCGTGATTTTCCTAAAAAATCGTGATATGATATTTTTTCCATATCGCCCACCCCTACATTAGCCTATTTTTACTAAAACTGCTTCTACAGGGCCATAACATAAGATACAAGGTAATGGAGACTTTTATACATTGCCGTGTTTCTTTAGAAATAAATAATGGACAAATGGAGTCTTTGGACGCCTCAGATGTAAAGTTGTTTGCTGTCAAAGTGACAACAAAATGAATGGGAGTCAATGGAATGCTAACAGCAGGTGAAGTTCCAGCACAACACACACTCCAACACAAACTCCACAATATAAAAAACAAAACAAAACAAAAATGCATCTGCTGAAGCAGGACAAATGTGAATCGAATCGACTTAGAACGAAAACACGAATCAACATCGGCAGAGCGCTTGAATTATTGAGAGACCGCTATTTTTATGGTGATAAATTACAAGTTTTCAGATATGCTGAAATAATGGTAAACAGTAATTAAATAGCAAGGTAAACTACAACATATATGAGACATGAAATGTATAAAAAAGACTGTTCCAGGATAACAAAAAGTATGTGCTTTAGGATGTAACTTTTACATATGAAATTGTTCAGTCTAGTTCACTACCCGTTTTCGTTATCATATTATACATTCACCTATGTTGACATTGCTGATTGTGAAAGATACACGAATAGTTAGTGAAATGAAATGCCTATGCTAGATGACACCACAAATGTAACTTTCTTGTAAAGATCACCTGCTGGAGTGCCCCTGAGAGCCACCAGAGGGCACTCCATATCACACTGATCACTTCACAAAACTACAATTCCCATAATGCTGTTTACCTGGGACTGATTACACTTTCACCTGCAGCTCATCCACACTCACCTGCATCTCATTCAGACACTCCATATAAACCACACTCAAACAATAGACCATTGCAAAGTATTACATTGCCACTGCCTGTAATCTCTGAGCATTTCCGACTATTCCTCTGATCTGACAATTCTAATGTTTAAAGCCTATTTCTTAACAAATGTCAGTCGACCAGGAAGATTTTAAAATGAGCAGTTCATTCAGAAATACCATAGACTGTAAAAAAATAGATAAATATGCAAGGTAGCTGTGAAAATACAGACTGGAAGACAAAGACAAAGAGCGCAGCACTGAAAAGGGGTCGGGCTGCTACATAAGGTCTATAGGAGAAGAATGAGAGACTTTACAGGCATTTTGTTTGTGATTTTTTTCCTTTCACGTCTACATGGTAAAGCAGTCATGTCTGTTTGGTTTGAAGCAATGCAAGGGTTCATTAAATAGATGTGCTGTTGTGACTGACAGCTGTAAGAATTTGGTTGTCAGGGTGATGACATAAGAGGACATTCAATTCTGAATTAATTGTAAGGCCTTTCTAGCTGCCTGTTAAAACGGAAAGCAATTAGTAGCTTGAAAAGTGGCATTTCATTACATTTTGACTATGGAAACTTCACAGCCCTGAGAAACAAATATAAAGAGAAAATCAAGGATGGATTGGACCTTTTAAATTATGCCACCATGTTATGCCACACACAGGAGTCCTTATGAAAAGACCGCATTGATGTTAAAGAAAGATAAGAGAGGCTTATGGTGACTGTAAGCTGTGGAAATGCTAAAGACAAGTTTAAGTGCTGTATACAGTACATACATGCACAATATTAAAAGCAAAATACAATTTAATGCATATTGTCTCATTTATGTGTCTCTGAATTCTCTTTAAAAATTACCTAAACAAATATTTTGGGTCAAATAAGGTCAAAACCTTCACATTTACTGGGATGTGGATTTACCATAGGTTAAATAGTTTTCAAAATACAGTACAGACATTTATAGTGTAAAAAAATATCTATTTTTTACATATCTATCAGATATGTAATCTGTATAAAAAAATATCTATTTTCTACATATCTATCAGATATGTAATCTATATAAAAAATGTGAATTTAGTCCCATAAACACTCACTGACTAATGCATGTATTAAAAATTGCAGGGCAGGAAGCACTTCCAAAAACAGCTGAGGTTTTTCGCTGAATCTCCCTCATTACCTTCAGATATTTCCCTGCTGTGCTCCTAACACCTCTCTTGCACTGTTAGTGGTTTCTGCCACTCCTTCCTCCTGTGTTCTCCTTCTTCTCTTTCTCTCAGCTGAAGTGAGGGCAGAGACCTTTTCACTGTCTCTTGAAGTGGTTCTGCTTTCATTACTGCTTTGTGTGGTTATGGTTCCCTGGCTTTCTTGTACTTGCACTATACATAAAGTGTAATGAACATTAAAATATTAATGCAAAATATAAAGGTCTTCCTTTATACCTGATAAAAGAGCCAGATTCATTGACCATTGATTTACATGTAAACATTGGAAACCATGACAACTTTCGGTTAGTATAGTAATAGGTCAGGGACTAATCTGTGCTGTGTGATGGCAGAAATGCATTTCTGTCATATGCTGTTTATATATATATATATATATATATATATATATATATATATATAGTGCTTTCAAAAAATATATGTGCTCATTAATGTATATTTACTTTGTTCAAGTAATAAAGTATTCTCGTGAGTGTATAATATGCCATTGAAAATACATTCGGGTCAGGGGTTCTAATGTCGGTCGCCATGTTGCCCCTCCATCTTGAAAGTACATTAGCCAAAGAGGGACATACCTGTTAATTCAAGCTTTGCCTTTCGCGTTTACGTTTGAGTTAACACTCATGGACGAGGTCGAACCGGAAGCCATGTTAATCTTGGACTAAATTGGCCACCGTATGAGTTAAAATGAAATCGGAATTGAGAGGAACAGAAACTAATATTGATTGGATGGTCATATACCTTTTCACTGCTAGATGGGGGTAAAAATCATACAGTGTAGTTTTAAGTTGAAAGACTGTGAGGAATGACCTTAAATTATTAAAAATATATTTATTATGTTTTGATCAAATGAGTAATCCAGTAATTTAAAGGTAAATAAAATAAAACCATAAGAAAAGTAAAAAAAAGAATCAAAAAATATTATCTAAAATATTAAATAAAATAAGCTTTCTGGGCAAAAAACAAAACAAACCAAAAAAACAAAAAAACAATTTAAGTATAATTTTAGGGCTTCGGAGTATTTTGACCAGCGAGGGAATGCATCCTTGGTGAATAGAAAAATGTATTTCTTTAAATATTTTACTGACCGTATTCAGTTTATGTGATTTTATTTACAACCCCAGCCCTACCTGCCCCCGAGATTCATGGAATGAGCAGACGCTCACCTCGCATGGCGTCATCCAGGCAGTACTGCAGCGGGCCACACTCCCAAATGCCTGTCACCTCATTAAAGAACATGTTGAAGTGAATCAGAATGATCTCAAAAGTAGCGCCCTTCAGAAGTGAGATCTGGTCCTCAATGATCAGAGTCCTGTCAAACACAACTTCATTATAGACTTGTATGAGTCAAGCTGCTTGTTATCACATTGGTGAACCGCCAACGATGAATCTTTATATCAGGTGTAAGAGGGCTCGTATTCACCTGAACATTTCAAGCGTCTTGCTGAAGTTGATTACATTCTTGATCATGTATGTGGTGAGGTCTGTAAAATGTGGCAAAGAGGTGAAAATGGCACCTTTAAGCCACCTTTTGTCTGTATTTTTTTTAAGACTCTGAAAGCTGGAGGAAGGGGATGAGAGGTTGACTGTCCGCTGCACTCCATCTTCAGGCGGTCGTGTATGCATGGTTGGGTTAGAGTATCTGCCGGTTTTTGGTTCTCGACTGTACTCGGACATGGAATTCTGATCCCGATCTAAAGGCTGCGGACATAAAACCACTGCTAAATACTGACAGTACTCATAACAATGTATTTCAGTGGATACTAGGGGTTGAAGGACTTCAGATTTTTTTAAGTCGACATTTTTGTGATTAAAGTCGAGTCGACTAATCGCTGATGGCGTCATTAATGAAGAAATAAGCCTGAACCTCAAACACAGCTATGGCATGTGACACAGCGATTGCTCCTACATAGCTGTTCTTTTGGCTTTGGGTCATTGTATTTCTCACAGATTTCTGCTCATTCTAAATCATATATATATATATATATATATATATAGCTTAAAGAGCATGGTAGAGCATTAAAGTTGACTACTCTGTGCAACCCCTAGAAATTACATTTGTCAGGATCTGAAACGAACTAAATAAGGTAAATTTGTTACCCGGAACTGAATGAATTGGGCGCAAGTCATGTCGAAGGTCTTTTGATGTGCGGTGACCAGCTCCTCTATGGCAGCTTCCTGTTGAGGTGAGAGCATTACGGGCTCCTCATGCATCCTCTTTCTCTTGATCTGCAATCTCCGCTTCTCCACGGCCTCATCCGACATGATCACTGAGGAACAGAACCAGAGGAATCAAAGTGAAGTTTACACAATGTATACACAATGTTGCTTAACATCTGCTGCTTAATATCTTTGACGATTGGAAAGTTCAAAAGAACAGCATTTATCTGAAGCAAATCTTTTGTGATAGGACTGTAAAATGTATTAATTGTGATTAATCTCATCTAACCTAAAAATGTGTTTACATAATATACGTGTGTATATATATATATATATATATATATATATATATATTAGAGCCCGACCGATAAAGGATTTTAAAGGCCGGTACCGATACAAATATTTGCTGGTTTTAAAATCCGATATTCCGATATATCGGCCGATATTTTTTTAAGAAACATGCAACAAAACATTAACAGGTTTCCTTAACATTAGTTATTTGTAGTTATTTATGAGTTTTAACTAAAATAATATGATAATGCATTTTTAAAAAGAAACTTGTTTCTTTTATTGTCACAACATAACAGACTGATGATAGTGGCATTAGCTAGCTTTGTGGTTAGCTAGTCTATGATGAGCCATAATTTAGCAATGGATAACGTCATACTGCAAATTGTAAAACATACATTTTCAATATCAATATAACCAAGAGAGGCCAATATAACAAGGAGAGATGATGCGTCTCATTGCTATAAATATCACACGCTATTAAAGAAATACTTCAGTCACATCGTCAAAAGTTAGTCACAGTCAGTCAACTACACTGTAACAACGTAACGTAATTATTACTAGCTAATTCCGCTTCACTCTCGGCTTATTTAACAGCAGCAAAACTGGACATGATAGTCACAGATTTTGTCATGCTTATTTGAGTTAAGAGAACAGATGGGGATGTTCTTTTAATTGTTATTCAAGCAATGTATGTCTCGTGACCAACTCAACGTGGACAGACTATACAACTCGAACACTCATGACATGGTTCAAACGTGTTTCGTCCGATTTTATTTTATTTTTGAAATATTCATTTATTGGCCATTATAACTGCCGATACCGATAGTTTGGAAAATGCCTAATATCGGCCGATAATATCCAAAATATAAATATATAATATTGTATTTGTGGTTGTATTTAATGGTGCTAAGAGTCTTGTCCATCTTGACAATGTTTTTTATTGGGTGTGTTTTCAGTTAACAATATTTCGTGTCACAATATATTGCAATACAAAAATGCAACAATAGGTATTGTGTATTTCACCCAAAGTAAACATTTCTGTGTGTGGAAAAAATTCAAGTTTACAGAGTTTTAGTGTCAGTACTACTTTAACCTACTATACAGGTTCTTCTAAAAAAAATTTGCATATTGTGATAAAATTCATTATATTCCATTAAACTTTCATATATTATAGATTCATTGCACACCAACTGAAATATTTCAGGTCTTTTATTGTTTTAATACTGATGATTTTGGCATACAGCTCATGAAAACCCAATTCCTATCTCAAAAAATAAGCATATCATGAAAAGGAAATGAAGTGGTGTGTGAACAATATGCTCTGTGTGTGTAAGAGCAGCTATCAGTTAGGGAAAATGAAAAGTAGGACTCAAATAAACTTACGCTCCCTCTTCATGCCAATGGAGAGGCATTTCTGGAGACGGCAGGACTGGCACTGTCTCCTGTTGCTCTTGGTGATGACGCAGGCATTCTGAAACGGGCAGCTGAGCTGCGCGGGTCGCTTCATGGCACGCCTTACAACAGGAACACACAAACACAAAGTGAATCAAACTGATCCACTGACTGTAGAATAAATAAGATGCCACAAGAGAGGTGCACGACTGTCTACCAGTATCAGACATTAACTTGATTAAAGGGGAAATTATTTGTTCTAACCACAGAACAGACTGCGTGCTGTTCATCTCTCTTTATCAAATGCTTTAATTAAATTTAATAAATTGAGGAATTCGGCAAGGACTGTTTGACCCCTCATTTTAATGAAATATCTTTCAGTGGCACTTTTGCCTCCCAAGCCCTGGTTAAACTAATAGTTCATGCAAAAATTTAAATAATTTCCTCACCGCAATTTCGTTACAAACCTGCATGACCCAACATCTTGAACATTTCAACACAATTTGTTTTTGTCCATACAGTTAAAGTCAATGGGGTCCAAAACACCACTGGACCAATTTAACTTTCATTCTATGCACAAAACGTTCCACATAAAGACCGATTAATTTCCACGAACCGGTTCTTTTGGACAGTTTGTTACAAAAACACGATTTATCGGTTCCTTATGATGTCACCACACATTTCTTTTCTAACAACTCAGTGCCATGTTATATCAATGAAACATTCAAATAAACTCATTTGTGTCAACGCACATTAAAAAATTCAAATAAAAAGTTACTTGTGTGAACGCATATTGCTGATAATTGCCTTTCATTGCCCAAGGGTTAATGGCGTTTGTGGTTATGGTTTCATTTGTGGATCCTTTGTGTAGACTATATCTTGGATAAGATTCCTAACCTACAGCACACATTACAGACATTACTGATGCACAAACGAAGATATTTTCTACAAGTCTAAAGTATATATATATATATATATATATATATATATACAAAAAAAATCTGCATGCCAATCACAATACAGTAAATTCAGGTTTTTCCATGTTATAATAAAAATGTGGGGCTTTTTAATAAAACTTGACATAAGAATATTACTATTAGTATCGTATATATTATCGTATATAGAATATATATTATCGTAGAATATTACTATTAGTATTAGCATAGTATCATCAACTATCTCATCAGACAAACTTCGACAGTAGCTTGAACCGGCTCTTTTTGAGTCGAGTGTTCGACTTCTTCAGCCACGTGTCTTACGTCATCAACCTTAAACTAAAGTTTGATTCAACTCGATTAGTGAAGCGGCTTGATCGGTTACTTCCTGAGAACCGACTCACCGTCACTACTACACAGTGTTGTAGTCGAGACCACCTCACTCGAGTCCGAGTCGACACCAAAACCAGAGAGAGTCGAGTCCGAGTCAAGACCGAGTCCATAGAGAGTCGAGTCCGAGTCGAGACCGAGACCAGTGAGGGTTGTTTACTTAATTTACTTTTATTTACTTTGAGAAATCCTTTTTTTCACTGAATTTACTTAGAGTTTAAAAAATATGATCAGTTTAGGGTAAAAAGGCCACATAGTAGGTGGTGTTAAAAGTAATTTTATTACAATTTGTCATGCGCAGTTGCGCACTAGAAAATCACCAATCACTGGGCGTGTCAATCAATTTAAAGAAATATTTTATTAACATACATTAATAATCATGAAAAATATTTTTAATTGAACTCGAGTGGACTCGGGAATAATTCAGAGTCCTAAAAAAAAAAATGTTCGAGTACGAGTCCATGACAAGACCAAGACCATTAAAATATGGTCTCGAGACCGAGTCCGAGACGAGTCCGAGTCTCGAGTACTACAACACTGCTACTACACACTTTTAACAGCCTACGTTTTTCTAGTTTAATTGTGTATCATTTGAATATTGTAAATACACTTCATTTATTCACTTTATTACTGTTGTTCATCTCATCGTTTTAAACACTCCCAACCTCACAGTTTAATCAGACCCCATTTTTAACTCAAATGTAAATGTAAATGTGTGTGTATATGTGTTTTCCACATAAGAAAGAGGGTCATAGGTTTGGAACGACACAAGGGTGAGTAAATTATCTTCCATTACAACAATTGCGGCAGCTGAGAAATATCTGTTTGCTCACGCACCTGAAGAAGCCTTTGCAGCCCTCACAGGTCATGGCGTTGAAGTGGTAGCCTGTGGATTTGTCACCGCATACTTGACAAATTTTGGGCTCATCATCCTCCTCTGTTTCTTCCTCAGACTCATCCCCGTGTCCCGAGTCGCCCAGGGGAGAAAGCTCCTCCATTTCTTTACTCATCCTGATCTGAAGTATGCACTGCAACACAAGGCACAAGTCACTAAATCACTCATATGGCTCAATATAACTGTAACGATTCCCCTGAAGCTGAGTCCGTTTTCTGAGCCCAGTTAATTTCATAATAGTGTATCAGAGATAAAAAACAACAACAAATAGGCTACATTTAACAAACTACTAGCTACATATTTATATCAAATGAATCTGGTGTAATATGTTGATTGGTTATGGTGTACAAAAACCGACCACAATCACTGTACTGCACTACTGTTAATATCAGCTCCTGCTTTAATCTTAACCATATTACACATCCTCATAATATTTGCACAACCTCAGATTCTGCCTCCAGCACAATATCCAGAGAAATAATATTTGCACTGCCTCAGTACAGAATGTTAATATTCTGAATTGCCTTGGTCGACTCATTTCACACACAGCAACTTTGCATTTGTATATATAATGTTGAAGGAAAATAACGTTCTTCATTAAAATGTATATTTTAATTATGGTAATATTAGCACATATTATTTATTTAAATATAAGTTTGTACTCTATTTGGACTGGTTCTAAAAGGACAGAAAAGAAGAGATAATATGACTGCCATTATACACAATAAAACAGTTCAAAAGCACCTGTTATGGTCTCTTGTCATTTGACATAAAATTATTAAATGAGCTGACAAATGGTCTGACATTGATTCATTCCTTTTATGATCCACATACATAAATGCCTTCTTTAATTTCTATTAAGACAAGACAATGAACATTACAAAAGTGTTTTAAACTCACAAATATCACATCCACAATTCACGCAAATAACAACATCTAAACAACCTTCCTAACAAACCTGTTTGAACATTCAAATGATAAAGTCACAGTGAATAAAACAACCATCACAGTTAGTTCGGAGTAGGCGGAATAACTTACGGCTGTGACTTTAAAACGTAAAACAGAGCAGGTGTTCAAAGTTCAGGAAACATACCCTTTGCACGATCCGTGTAATGCAGAAATATAGAGTGCGTCCTCCAGAGCAAGACCTTTATCCTAAATAAGCCATCGAAAGAACACAGTGCATACACACACACACACACAATGACAAAGAAAGCTGAATTTATGCGTTGCCATGGCATCCACATGGGACCACTGAGAATTGGTCAAGTCTCCCTCTATAAACCATAATCCAGACGTACAGCAGCATATAGTCTATGATTATTTAGGGTTGGGTGTCTTATTAAAGATGAAAACGAAGATACAAAGTGAACAGAATTGGTGTCCAATAACAAAACACACTATTATTTATTTTGCCTCATCTTTTTTTTTTTTCATCATATTGAATAAAATAGCCAATTTGTTGTTAGAAATAGTTGACTTGATCATTTTAATTTAATTAAAAAAATAATAGTTCTTCATTTCATTTTAAATGTCAAATCAAAGACTTTTGTGTAATGAATTAACATTTACAATTATTTGTAAATGTAGCAGAGGCATTTGTCCAAGCGAATTACTAATTACAATAGAATATCCTAACAGAAATAATTTGTAATATTATAAATCTTTATTATTATTAAGACATTTATAATGTTACAAAAGATTTTTTATTGCAAATAAATGGTTTCTTGAGCAGCAAATCATCACATTAGAATGAAGGATCGTGTGACACGTAATGATGCTCAAAATTCTGCAGCCACAGCAAATATCGATTGTATAGTACAATAGTAAAATGCTATAATGTGAAAGTAAAAAGTGGAGAACAACAGAGAAGATTAAGTTAAATTGATTACAGTTGGTAGGGGAAATCTGACAACTTTCTCAGTTGCTCGTAATTGCGAAATAAATTCCCATCTACCAACACCATTTTAAAGGGACAGTTCACTCAAACAGTGTGTGAGAGTGGCTACGTAAAAAAAGAAAGTGCATGGATAACTTAAATTTTAGTTTGCTGCTCATCACACAAATATTTAATATGGCTTCAGAAGACTTGGAATATAGCACACAATTTATAGGCACAATTTATATTTAATTTCATTGCAATTTAGGGATCTTGACAGCCTGGTCTGCATCCACTTTCATTTGGAAAAGATCAGCTTCAATATTCTGCTGAACTTCTACTTTTGTGTTCTATGAAGGTTTGGAAGGAGATGACAGTACAGACTAGAGCCAGACCGATATATCAGCAGGCCGATATTATCGGCCGATATTAGGAATTTGCGAAAATATCGGTATCGGCAGTTATAATGGCCGAAAAATGAATATTTCAACAATAAAATAAAAACGGACGAATCACGCTTCAACCATGTCATGAGTGTTGTCAAAAAGTGCAGGTAAAGGGATAAGCAAGCTGACATAATTATGAGGTCGCTTATTACTATAAGGCAATGTAGGGACTAATTATTATTTAATTTATCAGAACTTTAAAATATTTTTATGTTCCTCTGTTCCGTTGTGACAATAGAAACAAGTTTTTTTTTAAATGCATTATCATTTTATTTTAGCTAAAACTCATAAATAACTACAAATAACTAATGTTAGGGAAGTCTGTTAATTTTGTTGCGCGTTTATGAAATATGATTAATAATAATATCAGCCGATATATCGGAATATCGGATTTTAAAACCAACAAATATTTGCATCGGTATCGGCCTTCAAAATCCTTTATCGGTCTGGCTCTAGTACAGACGACAGCATTTTCTTTTTGGGTGAACCAGCTAACAGGGATAATAATATTTTAATATTATTATATATAATTTTAGGCTAGAAATCTAGACGCACCCTAGCGGCAGCAAAAATTATTTTGCAGCAATCATTTTAAAGACCTACCAAATGTGTGGTCTAGCAACTCTCCATAGACGTTTTAGCTGGAAAAACTCAACTCTGGTAGGGCCAATCACATCGTGTATAGAGTCGGCGGGCGGGCTTAACATAATGACAACAGAGTTGAGCCGGTCAGAGCAAGCTCGGACATATTCGGTTTGAAGTCGTTCATCCTCTGATGCGGCCGGCGCCGCGCGCGCTGTTACAAAAAAGCTGTGGCGAAACGATCAACTTGTCATTTTTGCCCACTCGTGCTGCGTCGTCGAGTATAAAGGCTTTACTCTGTGTCAGTGCGCACTCTGATCGGTAAGGTGCACGGACCTCTCCCGAATCATCTCCAGCACCCCGAAGCGCCACTACTCCGCTTCCGTATTTCAACATTCTCTATGATATTATTTTTTTAATGACACACTGTCTCTTTCTCTCTCATACACACAAAAAACACACACATACTGTCTCTTTCTCTCTCACACATATGTAGGCTAGTTATAAACTCTTTTGACTTTTAATGATTAGTGTTTTATTTTTAAAGTTTGTGGATCGTGTAAAAAACAAAAAAAATCCCTTATTTTGGGGATGGATTCTGGGAAATCTCTCTTATTTTCAATGTTCTATGTTGACAGCTGGACTGGATGTTAACTGGTAAAAGTTTAATATATCAACTTGCTCCGCTTAGTACGTCACCTTCTTCGTTGCTCTGATTGGCTTTAGCGCTATCCAATTGCGTGCAGAGAGAATTTGAAAGACCACCGTTTATCCCGCCCCTCGGATTGAGCCCTGTCAATGATGAGTTTCCAGACCTAACATCTTGATGTAGGTCTGGCATGCCAGGCTAATATAATTTAATAATATTTTCAAAACATTGATTACATTGATATTCTTATTATCAAAATTATTATCATTCATGGAATGTTTTTACCTGCATTTTTTCAAAGAACATTCAAAAGTAACATTCCCCGATGTTTGCAAAATGATAAAATGGAATGTTCCCTTACCAATTGCATAAACGAGAAAAAAAAATTAAAAAAATTCTTTCAGAGATCAAAACAACGGTTTCATAACTTAATAAGAATGTTTAAAAAATGTTATTGGAACATGTTTTCGTAAGCTGTGCCAAGCAATCATCTGTAAAACTGAAACTATTATTAATCCTTAAATATTATATTGGATAGCACAGCTTAACATTTACTGTCATTTATCTGGCCTTGACTAATGCCTGGTTCAGATTACACGATTTTTTTTGTCTGTTACGATAGTCACTGTGCATGTCAGATTACGTGATTTTGGCTCCTAAAATATTGTGGTGTCGTGGACAAGACTACACGTTACTTCCTGACCAGTCATCGCATGTCATGTTTAACGGCGCGCATGATGTCATAGAGAAGGCGAAAATTGTAGCGAGTGAGTTCCTGGATTGCTCGGCATTTACACGGTGTGGCGTGTGAGTGTGTGAACTGGTTGAATTGCGTGTGTCTCACGGCCATTGCGTAAGACTTGAGAACCCTGCTCGAAGAGGCCAGTATGGGCTGTCAATCTTCCAAAGAGAACTTGAGGTAAAATATTGTTTTCTTATATATTTTTACTTCTAGTTTTAACATTAGCACGCTAAGGAACGCTAAAGCGTCTTTTTTGAAAGTTGTATACGGAGAAGCTTGTACTCCTATTGGTCAACCTCATACATGTGACGGAACCGTTGTGGACGACCGTTAAAAAAATTAAACATTATGTAGGAGCCAAATGGTGTCTGAGTTGTTGGGCCACTAGATGGTGCTGCTCACTCAACTATATTTGTGAGGGTTCAACAGGTGGTGTGGAGTGTTGACCCGGAAGGGCAAAAAGTTTTTGACCGCTACGGCGGAGTTCTGTAAACGCTGTTGTCTGTAACGAATAGAGATCTTTGAGACTTTGTGGATGTAATGCACCTGTGTGGAGGACAATAAATACGGTAGTAACACACAACAAGATGCCTCTGGAACTGTAACTTACAACATGTTTATCATTAGCCGCCAAGCGTGTCGTAACACGTAGCTACGGGACAACATCTACAGCGCAGTATCAGACTGGCTGTTATACATTAATTAAAAAATTTATTAAAACATAAAAAAATGAAAGGAAATTAAAAATTAAATAAAAAAATTAAGCTAGTCTTTTTTTCGTGATATGGTGAAGCATCGCAGACGCGACGTAGGTTGTCGCCCACTATGACACACT